CCAATCAAGTATGACTTATCCAAATCGGTAGACAAAATCTCACCAAACGTCCTAAAATATTTCTCAGGAATGGTTTTCGGAAAATCATGACAATCACTCAATTCCGTGGTGTCATAAAAATAAATTTTATAAGGATGACGACTTGTCTGATAGTCACTCTTGTACTCGACGACCTTGAATGTATCGATGATGTATACACTACCATAAACCAGCTTATCCTGAAATTTCTTGACACACTTCTTATCAAGAGTAGCATGTATGTGCTCACCCTTGATAATTATTTAGGAGTGTTAATTGAACATATATTTAAGAAGATGCAACACAGTAAACCAACAATAATTTGATCAGAAAAAATCATAAAAAACTCACATGTGCATCAACGAACACGACATCCATCATCTGTCCAGCTCTAACCCTAAGCTTGAGTACACAAACCTTTATCTTATAGCGATCAGACTGTGGAGTCAAATCCTTATTGTTAACCAAAGAACCAGGTTTTCTCTTGAAAATAGACATTATCCAACCCGAATAATGTAAAGTCTCTTTGTAAATATAACCTAATAACCCAGGGCTTTCTGTAAGCTCTCAAAATAAAAGTGAAATTTTTTTATCGTGTTTCTTGGTATCTTATAGCCAGAGTTGCAAGATATATATATCATATATATATATATATATATATATATATATTCAAAGGCCAATGATTCTAAACAATTATGCCATTTAGCAAATAATTACCAAAAAATCAAGTAATTAATTATGACCGACGTTAAGACTTATAGAATATTTCCCAAAACATTGTAAATATACGATATATATCTCGAATATAGATATACAATATTTTGTAAAAAAATATTATTAATGCCAAATATGCACAAAGTAACGATATCGGTAAGGATGAATATTGGAATAAATCTTTAAAATATCTATAAGGCACGATACATGATATTTGTGAATGCTCTACATAGTTACGCTATTATCCTAATATTTTTGTTTGATTTAAATATTTGTCATTAATTATAACCGACATTATAAGGTATAGTATATTTCCCAATACATTACATATATAAGACTGATATCCTTAATATTAATATATAACATTTTTAGAGAAAGTCTGATAAGGTCAACACTTGCAAATTAACAATTTCGATAAGGATAAAGGTCTGAACAAATCTTAATATATATATATATATATATATATATATAACACATGTTACAGAATATACTCGAAATTTTGCATGACACAAAATATTCTTGAAGAGGTATTACAAATATCATCCACGTAAGTCTTAAATATCATAGAGTCTTTATCGAATCAAAATTTCCATACGCCATATCTAATGTTAGCATTTATACATTTTCACGATAACACATATACCCATAAAATAAAAAGTAACATTTTCGATAAAGCTAAAGATTGAAACAAATCTTAATATATATAACATATGTCACAGGATATTCTCAAAATTTTGCATGACACAAATATTCTTGAAGTTATGTTACAAATATCATAAGAGTTTATATCGAAGCCAAAACTCCAGATACCAGTCTCAAATATCATAGTCTTAATCCAAACCAAAACTCTGTATGCCAGGGATCATGTTAACATTTATACGATCCAGCGATAATATTTTTACAATCTCATAAGACTTACGTCAAAAATTATACCAAGCCAATATGATGGGTCTCATCTTTTTCAACCAAACACAATCATATAAGCCGAAAACAACACATAGCCATACTGTATAAATTACGCGGTAAAATAATTATCGAAAATGGCATACATAATAAGACAATAAATCAAAATCTTATATATTAGATACCAGAATAAATAAAACTCCAGCCATAGGTCACATAAACGCAAAACCCAACACCATCATAATATTCGTTATTTTGTAAGAAAAGGTCGCTCTACTAATCCCAAATCATAACAGACTCCAATGGCCCCAGCAAACGATGGATATAAAACACCATTAATCGTTCTGATATCTTCAAAACACGTCGGTCCTCTGACAACAGCTAACAACCTCCTGAGGTAAAATAGCTCACCACATTCTGGCTTCACATAGGGAAGTCCTACCGCATTTCTCCTAGACCTACAACGACGTCGCGGTAGCCATTTTCTGATGTTCTTATGCCAAACAAACCAAATCGGGAATTCAGTATACAGAAGATGCCTCGACTCTGGATGGTGTTTGTTGTATTCCATCCAACCCTGAAACTGAGACCTTTGAAAATAATATCCAGGATCAGGTGGCAAAAAATCTTCCGAGAAAATGATATCCTGATTCCTCGGTAGATGAAAAGACAAGATAGTCATCCGAGTATGCTTACTGTATAAGACAAAAAAAATTAAGATACACAGAGAAACCAAGACCGTAGAGCAACCGAGAACATAAACTGAGATATAACTATAGAGCAAAAAATAGTTATATATAACCAAAACGAAAAAGACAAAGCAATAAACAGCATCAACAGGAAAACAACATAAGAAACAAATCAAAACCAAATTTTATAACAAAGCATTAGTTGTAATCAACATACGATGAATCCAAATGGAAAAAAGTTTAAGAAGCAATACCTTTTATGCAAACTGAACTCACGACCATCAGCAGACATAAGCCTGGAAGCTCTATCACCAGAACGAAACGATGAAACCTAATCAACTATCTTCTCTTGCAAGCTACCTGCGACACAACGAAAACCCAAGAAGGAAAATTCAGAACCGTAAGAAACAAAACATATGCATGAAACAAAAACTAAATCCTAAACTATAACCTACACGTCAATAATCAATAAATAAACATAAGCAGTTGTTTAGATGAATGAGATATATGCGAGTATATATAGCTATTAAAATTCTAGGGTTTTCATTTTGAAGTATACTTTTGAGAGGCAGCCGACTTTTTCAAATGGTCTATTGGATACCAATTTCAAAAAGCCCAACTGATACATCATATGAACCGGTATAAGATTTAAATTATTGTAATCGATTTCCAAATAAGAACCAAACCAAACTAATTGATTTAAAATCGAAATATTTCCACCAGCGGCAGAAAGCACTAACCCCTCTAAGAAAAGATGTGGTGCGTTTCTGACTACGCAAATAGTATAGATTTATTTTTGGGGCCTCAATCTTAAATAAACTAATCCATCTTGGGTCTGGGTAAATAAAATAAATTTTATTATTTAACTGTTTGCATGCGTATACATGTGTGAGTATGATTTTTTTATAAATATAGTTAGTTGTAATATTTGAGTGTTGATTTTTTTTTCATACATTCTACAAATAAAAATGTTTGTATACAGATACAATTTTAATGTTTAACAACAATTACACAAATATTTCAAATTGCTTTGTGCCTTTTGAAACTATTTTTTTTTTTATGTTTACAGTGATGTATAATTACAAATATAAAATATATACTAAATAATGATAAAATTCTTACAATATATTTTGAATATTATCTATAGTATGCTTTATTTTATCTTTACACAATATAATCTTGCCAATACATATATATTTTAAATATATATATATATATATTTAACCTACTGTAAATTACTCCAAAATAGATTTTATTATATTTACTTATCCTAAGAACGGATATATGGTTGATCTGCATATGCGTACATACCAATCGCTTTATCGCTCTTAGAACAAATATATTTTTTTTAAACAAATAAGTTGGCTAATAATTAAAATTAAAATTAGACTGTAATCGAAATTAACAAAATGCATGCACGATAAACTCCAATGTAACCTCGAGTTTTGTACAATTCATATTCACATCCGTATGCATATTTGTAGAAAAGTCGAACTATGGCTTTTATGGTCAAAAAATAATAATAAAGTATATGTTTTATCATATATATTTTAAAAATATATAATTGAATTTTAAAAAGTAATAAATACATATATTTATGTATGCATACAAGTTAGAAATAAGTTAATTAATTTTTACACTGGTTTGGCGATAAAATTTACTTCCTCCGTTCTATAAAGATTGATGTTTTGAATATTTTTTTTGTTCTACAAAGATTAATGTGTTAGAATATAAAATACAGTTTTTTTGTAGATTTCAAGAAAAATAACTAAAATTATTTAAATTATTAAATTATTATTGGTTAACATTTATTAAAAATTAATGATTACAAAAAGTAATACATTTATAATCAAAAAGTAATTATTTCTTAATATGTATAATTAGTCTAAAACATTTTTTTTTTTAGAACGGAAAGAGTATAAAATTTATAAAATTTTAAAGCCCATCAAAAAAAGCCTCCTTAAATTTGAGTATAGTTTCCTCTTAAAAGACCAATAAAAGCCCCCTTAGACTTAAGTATAGTTACGAAACTGTCCTTTCCCTAATCCCATATCTGCGTCGTTCCTCTTTCCCCCAAAATTCATCTCACTCCCAAATTCTGAAGCTTCTTCTCACGCGCAAACTCACAGAAGCTCCTCAAAACCCTATCCCATAGCTCCATCGCTCTCGTTCGGATTTTGCTATTGCTTTTGGTAATTCCCCGCTTCTTTACCCTTCGCGAATCATTAAGTTACCTTGAGGCATCTTGATTTTGCTGTTCTCCGTTCTGTTTTCCCACTGTTTGCGCGCGATTTCCAGTTTTTGTTTCAGAAAACTATGATTTTATCATCTTAGATGCATCGATCTGTTCTTCTAGGGATTCGATTTGATTTCACGTCGATTCGTTTCAGGAACTGTTCGTATTTCTGGTTACCTGTTCTTGTGATATCTAGCTCTCAATCTGATTCGATCCGTACTTGTTTGCACGCCTTATATTCGATGATAAACTATGCAGCTAGGTTATCCGTGATTTGTAATTGGGCATGAAATCTAGTGCTTGAGTACGATGATTGTGTTTGTGATTGATGATTATGGTATCTAATCTCTCTTTTTCTTTCTCTGATTGTTGCAGGTTTTCAGATTCAGTCGTTGTATCTGTGTTTGACATAAGGAAATTGGATTTTTATTAAACTGAAGATGTCGGGACCTTTCAATATGATGACTGCAAGGTCTGGGGGAAGAGGTATTTCTCGCCGTGGTCGAGGTCGTGTTCATGGTCATGGACCAAATGGTTATTTCGGCGGTGGAAGAGGAACCGGACCGGCTCGGAGAGGTCCTCTTGCTGTGAATGCTCGGGCTTCATCATTCACCATTAACAAGGCAAGCTCAAAATCTGAGGATCTTCTAATGTGTATGATTGGAAATCTGAGTTTCTGTGGTGTCAAGCATTTACTGAATCATGCCTAAACTAAACGATGGGAGGCTCTCTTAACGTTGTTATGTTATGGAGAAGCTGGTTTTTCTCGTACATGCATAAAGCCTTACTTCTTCTGAGGATATTTTTGACATTATTTAACATTCAGAACCTCGTCTAGGAGGTGATACAATGATACATGATTAACAAAAGCCTCTTACCCCTGCAATTTCAGTGTACTTTGTGGTTAGATTGTGAGGATTTTGGCAGACATGCATTAGTTATGTGCGATAAGTTCTTAGTTGCTTTTGCCAGTGCTTTTTAGCTGAGGAGCTTCAGAAAGTTGAAGGTCAAATCTGTTCATCCAATAGTACAGTCGTATTGCAATGAACATATTGATCTTTTCAGCGACACAGTTCAAAGTCCTCTGAGGTGTTATGGCGTTTGGGGGGAAAGTTCAGTTAATGTCGTTGGCAGTATATAGGCTGTATATTGCATCATGCATGAAGTTATTGATGAATCTGTTGCTACATCTGGAGATTCTTCAGCGTGCTGTTCTCGGTCTTTCTTTTATCATTGCCTTGGTATAAGGACCTTCTTTTGGAATCTGAGCAGCGACTAGTGTAGTGTCGGTCAATATTCCTTGTTCATCCATTTCATTTGGTCTCTCCTTGGTTGGTTTTTGACTACTTGCTGGAGAAAGATCATTGCTTTGACTGGTTTTTCGTTCTTTCAGACAATGGGTGGTTTCTCTTCTTTGGAATGATTTTTCATTTGCCGTTGTTTTGGAGTTCGACCAAAACACTTTGTACTGATGTTATCTGTTCTTTTCAATAGCCTGTCCGTAGGATCAGAAGCTTGCCATGGCAGAGTGATCTGTTTGAAGATGGCCTAAGAGCTGCTGGTGTATCCAGAGTTGATGTTGAAACCAGGCTCCATATCACAAATCTGGACCATGGTGTGACAAATGAAGATATAAGGGTATTATAATCATCTGACTTCAATAGTCTCTGCCTCTGGTTTTCAAAACAAAACACTAATTCTATCTCAATGGGGATCGATCTTAGGAACTATTCTCTGAGATCGGGGAGCTAAAACGTTACGCAATTCATTTTGACAAAAATGGCCGTCCAAGTGTAAGTTCTCACAAATCTTCTTCATGATTCTAAAAAGCTTTCCTCTATATTCACTTTTCTAACTCTGATTTTCATATGGTATTATAGGGCACAGCTGAAGTGGTGTATCCGAGAAGAAGCGATGCATTTCAAGCTCTGAAGAAATACAACAATGTATTATTGGACGGAAGGCCAATGCGACTAGAGATTCTGGGTGGCAACAACTCCGAGTCTGCTCCTTTATCGGGTCGTGTGAATGTGAATGTCACTGGACTCAACGGAAGGCTGAAGAGAACTGTCGTTATCCAGTATAAATTCTCTGCCTTTCTCTTTCTGTAATCACACTCACAAGAGATATATGAATCATAGCACTTACGAGACTTAACCTAAATCTTCATTGATGCTTACAGACAAGTAGGAGGGGTGAGAGGTAGAGTTAGAGGAAGAGGAGGGAGAGTTTCAGCTCCTCCTGTTAATCGCCTTCCCATGTAAGTATCATACGTTATGCAGAACCAAATTAGAATCGAAAATATCAAATATCATAAGTTATGCAGAACCAAACTAGAATCGAAAATATAAAATATCAGATATCAAATGCCTTATTCTGTTGGATTTCTCTTGGTGGCAGTCAAAACCGGCAAGGAGGGACGAGAGGAGGAAGAGGCGGGTTTCGTGGTAGAGGACGTGGCGGTGGTGGTGGTGGCCGTGGCCGTGGTGGTGGAAGAGGGAATGGGAAGAAGCCGGTGGAGAAATCTGCTGCTGATCTTGATAAGGATCTTGAGAGCTATCACGCAGATGCCATGAACACTTGAAAGGAATATGTGTTGCTTTCTTACTATACTTACTTAAATCTCTATGTTTAAGAGATGATGGTATATTTACTTCTCCTTTTCATGTGCTCTTCGTTTTAGTGATTTTGGTTTCTTTGGTGGTTGCTAGTGTAAAGTAAATGAAAAAGTCGTTTAAAATCTGTTAGAAATTACGGATAGTTTTGGTATCAAAAAGTCTATTTGCAGTGAAATATTTTTTTAAAAATGTAACGAGTAGAGGTGAGTTTATTTTGACACAGGTTTCATTTTTGTTTGAAGATTCGATCGTTGTTGTTCTGAAATGTATGATCTTCTACGTATTTACTTTTCTTTCAGTTTGGTTTTTTGTTTTAGTTATGGTTAACACTGAAATGCCAAAAAAGGAAAGAAACGGATTTGAATTATAGACACTAGTAATAATCACACACCCATAACAAAACAAATTAGCCGGTTAAAATGGACAAAACTGAGTAAAAACCAAACCGGATCCATTCACAATCCAACCGTTAATGTCTATCTCTACCTTTCAGGAGCAACGTTCTCATTAAAAACGAATTCTCCGGAATTGCTTCTATGAAAAAGCTTCTCCACAACTTCATCCCAATTCTTCTTCTTCAACTTTGGTTCAGATGCTTCCGCATTGTTACATACCTCTTGCTCTTCCTCTTCTTCTTCCGCAGCAGACACTGCGTGTGGAATATTTAGACTCACCGCTCTCTCCAACGCATCTTTATGCTCTTTCTCTAAAGTGTTTAACCTCTCCATCCTCTTCTCTTTTGGCGCCATTGTCACCACTGTCTCTGAACTCTTCTCTCTCAATTCCTGCAACCACACATCAACCTTTAGTATTTTTGCAAGATCAAGAAACAGATGTTTGTAGCAAGATTAAGAAACAAGTGTTTATAGCCTAACTAATCCCATAATGTTTATAGGAAGATCAAGAAACAAGTGTTTATAGCCAAACTAATCCCTTTATGGTTATAGCAAGATCAAGAAACAAATGTAACCTGAAGCGCCTTTTCGGACTCTCTTTCGATCCATAGAATCGCGTGATCGGATGTTGCGTTCGATGATAATACTATATGTTCGAATCTCCCATCAACGGGAATCGCGGTTCTTACTTCTGGAGGAAACCTTCCACATCTAATATAAACAATGATCTCAAAGAGAAGAATCATAAAGAAAACTTAGCTAAGAAATGGGATTTAACTTTGATATTAACCTGCAGAATTTTCGTTCCACGATATGATAAATTCGACCAGGTGCATAAAGTCTTCGAGAGTCTCTTAGTTTTCTACCTTCTGGTATAAATGTATCTCTCAAACAAACTAGAAACAATAAGCAAGGCAAGCTGTTCCAAAACAAGAATTTACAAATATGTCAAATAAGTTCTAACCAACAACGAAAACATAAAAAACTTTAGAAGTTAAAAAATATAAAAACACTTACCAAAATACAGACTTGAAAATGTCCTCTAATGGTGTCGCTGTTCTTGGTAAAAAATCATCCTGCAATCCCACAAAAAAACTAAGTATCTTAAGATTCATTTACTTAGTAGTAGCTACTAAGTATCTTACTTAAGAAGTTTAAGATGCCTTTCTTCTAATCAAGTTACAGATTTAGCAGAATATTCTGACCAAACTCGAGAAGGAAAAAGGAAAATTTGATTCTTCAATTCCATTTATAAGCACAAAGCATATTCTTAACTTACGGAACATGACAATGTGTGTGGTCAACAATGGACCAACTACCAGTCTACCACAATCCAAACGAAAGATATGAAAAGTGTAAATTTTATATAAATTTATAATTTATAAATTAACAAATTAATCTTAAAATTTAAGACATAAATAGTAATTTTAAAACCTAAACAAAATTGTTCATTTTCTTATCTCATCTAACATTTCAAAATTATTCTAAATAATCATAAAAATCATTTTCGACTTAATTTTTGTTAGAAAATTTCTCATCTAACATTGCAACTCCAATGTCTTAACAAAATCAGCTAAATTTAGCAATTGTTATCTACAACCAAATTCTCTGACCACATTCCTTAAATCATTTAATATAACATTGTCACTATTATCAAGTGATGACAAAAGAAATTGGGTTTTAAAATTAACCTGCAAAATTACGGAGAAGATGACGTCAGCATACTTAACGGCGAGATTAAGCGACATACACCTTGCCGGAGCCACCGAGAAACACCGGATCTTACTCCTCGGTACACCACCGATCATCGACGGAGTATTTACCACCAAAACCGCCATCAACGCCGCAACACCAGATCCCAAAGAGTGACCGGCGAAAACAATATCATACTCTTTCCCATTCTCTTCCCAAACGCTTCTAAGCGTCTCCGATTCTTGATTCAAAACCCAAGCCGCCGATTTCAAAAGCCCCTGATGAACAAACCCACCTCCGAGCATCTTCTGTCCGAGTTTATTATCCAGAAGGATCTTGTAATCGCTCTCTTTCGCTAGGTTTAAGCCACGGATCGCGAGCACGATCTCACGGTGGTCGTGATCGACGTAGATGATGTACGGTGGAGATCTGCCTTGGGTTTTCTCGTGGGTCACTCTTTTGATTACCCAATCTGGGTTTAGATCGAATTTTCCGATCGACGGCGAGATTTTAGGGTTTCGGAGATCGGGCTCGTAGACGGCGAGGATCACGCGGCAAATTCTTGGGATTGGCTCGAATTCTTCGGGTGTTGCTGCCGTCCACGTGGCGCTATCGTCGGAGCCCACGTGTGTGCAACGTTTCCATGCCCACCGACTGAAACCGACGCAGAAGACACATTCGAGTCCACAAGCTACAGACATTTTTGGAGGTTTTTGAAAAACAAAAATCGAAACTTTCACCTAAAGCTGAGATTTTTAGATTGGTTTGGTATTTTGAGTAATTTCCAAAATGTGAGACGAAGCTGAGAATTTTAAAATTCAAGAATTAATGGAGTTGAAGAAAGACTTAATTGAAAATATTGGGATTTGGATTAAAAGATTGGGGGAATCGAAAATTTTGACCAAAGATGATAATTTTGGTAGCTGGTGTAGAAATTATAGATATCGGATATTGAAGACTATAGATTTGGATTATCAGAGGAGGAAAAATCGAAATTAGAGATAAAGCTGAGATATTCACAACTATCGCAAAATGGTTGGTGCAAGAGCAAGATGAAACTGGTGAAATTAGAGCTCAAAATGGGGAGTGGAAATTAGAGAACTGGGTTATAATTTATGAAAAATATATACATAAGATTTTATATTTTTGAAAGAATTAGAGTTTAGGGAAAATTCATGGAAAAAGAAATAGAATTTCTAAGAGATTAAAGGATGCAAAGAGAGCATCAAAAAGGGTTAACGAAGAAGAAACCAGCTAAGTAAAGACAGGTAAGAGAGTAATCACGACAGAGACAGGCAGCCCAAAAAGAAGATTTGAAGAACATGTCACATTTTCTAAGTCTTTCTATTAAAACACTTTTTTCTCCCTTTTTTTGTAAATTATGAAATATTTGATTCTCATCTGAAAACCCATCCGCACAAGGGAAGCTATATATGTTGACTATTTTTTCAGATTACTTTTTTTTTTGTTTTTTGGTTTTTCTTTAAATCTTCTTTTAATCTGAGTGACTTATGTTCAAAATTTCGTTCTATTTGTTAGTGTCCTTTGTTATCTCTTTCGTCATCACTACGATTAACGACGAAAACTCTGATACACTTTTGTTTTTGTCACTTGTTTTTTGGTTTATTAGAATATGCATTACGATATTCTCGTACATTTATATTTTTTTTTCTATATAATTTTCTTTCTCTGATCATTAGATTACGACTTACGAGTATATATTAGAATTGGAGATGTGGTAATATTTTTGGGATTACTGAAAAATTTAAGGATAGAATATCTTTTCTAAGAGATTTAGCTATGGATGTTATGCGAGCACCCTCTAAGATGGAAAGATAATTGGATGAAGAGACAGATTTTATGGACCGACGAATGGGTTGGTGAAGCTCAACACGGATGGAGCATCTCATGGTATCTTTAGTTCTGCAACCGCAGGAGGGGTATTACAGGATGAAGAGGGCCTGTGGCGTGGAGGTTTTGCTCTCAATTATTGGTATATGCTCGGCACCTTTGGTGGGGGGGGGGTTGTATGGTTTATACATAGCTTGGGAGCGTCGAGTTACTAAACTAGAGATTGAAGTAGACTCGGAAATTGTGGTTAACTTCCTGAAATCAAGGATCAATGATGTTGACCCCTTGTCATTCCTAGCACGTATGTGCTATGGCTTCCTATCAAGGGACTGGTTAGTCCGTATTTTTCATGTTTATCGAGAGACCAATCATCTTGCAGACGGATTGGCTAATTATGCTTTTTCTTTATCTTTAGGTATTCATGTTTTTGATTCTGCTCTATAGAGTGTTTCGTCCATTATGTTAAAGGACGAACATGGAGTTACTGCAACTAGACAAGTTCGTTTGTGATTGTTAGTGGCTTTTGAATAAATAAGGGGAGATTTTTGTCTCTTTTCTTTGACCAAAAAAAATTATGAGTATATATATGTATATAAACCGCTTTGAGGCTAATGAATAATATTTAACACTTTCGCATATTTTGATATGGTATCAGAGCCATAAAGCTAATAAATTTTTTGATTTCTTTGAATAGAAGCCGACGAGTCTCTCTGTTCTTTCTCACTTCCCTCCTTGTGTCTGTGTGTGTGGTGTTAGCAACCCGACGAGGTTTCACTTGGTGTTTCTGAACCAACGAGGTTTTGAATTGGTGTTTAGCTAATCGACGAGATTAAGCTACGTATGATAACGATGGGTGATATGGTGGCAAGGACATCCAAAGATCCGGTTATTTTGGCGAATTCTTTTCTTCATGCTTCTGCAGATCCAAAGTAAGTGATTTCTAACATGATGTTGACTGAAAACAACTTGAAAGGTTGGCAAAACTGATGAGGAATTCGCTTAAAGAGAAAAACAAACTGTGTTTTATTGATAGCATTGTCACTGAACCTGAAGAAGGGAATGATCTCAAATTATGGGGTATAGTGAATTCAATGCTGGTGGCATGGATCTTGAACACCATCGATCCAAATTTAAGGAGTTCTTTGTCATGTTGTGACACTGCACATCAGTTATGGACAGATATTTGAGATCGCTTCTATGTGGGTAACAAGCCGCGGATCTATGAGTTACAAGCATCGGTTAATTCCTGCAAACAAGATAAACAGACGGTGCAAGACTATTTTGGAAAGATGAAGCTCATGTGGGATGATATTGATGAGTTTGAACCGATTCTAGAGTGCTGTTGTGGACACTCAAAATGCAGGGTCATAAAAGCTCTTGTAGAGCAAAGAGATAAGCAACAGAGACGTCAGCTCTTAATGGGACTTGACACAAGTCGTTTCGGCACCGTTCGCTCTAATATATTGTGCATGAATCCACCACCATCGTTAAATGCAGTCTTTTTTATGATTGTGCAAGAGGAGCGACACCAACGTGTCTCAGTTGCAACTGAAACACGACCTAAACCAAAAAATTCAATATCTGCAGGTCATGGCCGTTTCAGTGTTGTTTGCACATATTATGGTCGCAATGGTCATCCGGTGCAAGACTGTTATCAATTGCATAGATTTCCTGACAACAGAGCTACTGGTTGTGGTAGAGGCTCCTCGAGTTGGAACAACGCAAGTGGACGAGGAATAGTGCAAAATTAAAACCAGCTCAGTCTGGTAGAAGAGGTTACAACTCCAATCGATGTAGAGGAGGATGTGGATCTGCTCGTCATATGGCGGCATTCAATGTTGGAGGTTCATCTGGACAACATCATACATTTTCAACATAAGATGCGGCATGCCTTATATTGAGTACAGATCAAGTAACTCAATTGGTTCAACTTTTGAATGCTCCATCAAACCATGTTTCAGATCGTTTGTCTGGTATTATGATTAACACTGGAGCATCTCATCATCTTACAGGATATATTGATCTATTAGTTGATGTTTCTGACATTTCTCCTTGCCATATTGGTTTACCTAATGGTGATGTTGTGGTTGCTTGTCAACAAGGAAAACTTCGCCTCGGGAGTTCTATTATTCTCCTATTTGTCTATTTTATTCTCGAGTTGACAAATACATTGTTGTCTGTTGCAAGATTGTTGAAAGATAAATCGTGTATTGCTGTGTTTACTAAGAAGTTCTGTTACTTGCAGGACAGTATCATGAGGATGCTGATTGGAGCGGGTGATGAGTGTGATGGGATCTACTATTTTCGTGAGGTGTTTTCATTTCAAGCTAATGCAGTGGGTGCAGTGAGTGGTCGTGAGCTATGGCATAGGCGACTTGGACATCCTGCAAAAGCTATGTTTTATGTAAGAGCAAAACAGCCTCGCTTCTCCTTTAATGACAGTGATAATAAAGCTGATTCAATATTTTCTCTTATTCACTGTGATGTTTGTGGTCCCTATAGCACACGTGCTACATGTGGTTCAATTTATTTCATCACGGTAGTTGATGATTTATCCCGTGCTGTTTAGATTTTCTTAATGCGCTCTAAAAGTGAAGTCTCTAAACATCTACAAAACTTATGTGCCATAGTTGGTCGTCAATTTAATGCAATTATCAAAGTGGTCCGTAGTGATAACGATACCGAATTTATGTGTCTCATATCCTTCTTCACCTCTAAAGGAATATTTTATCAAACATCATGTGTAGGCACACCTCAACAGAATAGTCGCGTGGAACGGAAACACCAACACATTCTTAATGTGGCACATTCTCTGAGATTTCAAGCATCGTTGCCAATAGAGTTTTGGGGGGGGGTGGGCGGGGGGTGGGGGGGGAGGTGGGGGGGGGGGGGGGGTGGACTGTGTGTTGACAGCATGCTACTAATTAATCGCACTCCTTCTGTTTTGCAAGGAAAACACCATATGAACTCCTCTTTGGAGCACAAGCCAGTTACAAGCATCTTATAAAATTGGCTGCCTTTGTTACACACATAAGGGTACTCATGTGCGCGATCAATTTGATGAAAAGGCAAGTCGATGTATGATTCTTGGATATCCGTATAATCAGAAGGGATGAAATGTCTACGATTTAAACCAACGTGAATACTTTGTCACTCATGAGGTGGTGTTTACTGAAGACGTGCTTCCACTTGAGAGCTCTCCCATGTTTATGGATTCATCGGGTGATGTAGCTGGTCTCTCGTGACATTTTGTTGATGATGATACTGAGTTACCTCTTGTTGTAAACTTTTCCTCTGAGTCACCTTTAAGGGGGAGTTCTTTGAGAGAGGATACAACTTTGAGGGGGAGTGCTATTGACTCTTCATATTTGCTTGTACCTCATGAGCTTTGTGACACTCCAGTTACTCTTTGTGAGGCTCCTGCTGCGGCTCCCCCTCCATTTGTTGACCCTCATTTGGGTCGTGGCCATAGAGAAAAGCAAAAATCTGTGTTACTTGCTCTGTATGTGATATATTCAGCCAAATACATCTCTACATCACACTCTTCGCTCCAATCTCATCTTGGTCCCTCAGGTACTCTATATCCTCTCACTAACTATATGTTCTGTTCACGGTTCTCAGAAAACTATAAGGGCTTCCTGACCAAGATCTCGGCAGTATGTGAACCAAAATCTTTTGCAGAAGCGATGATGTATCAAGAATGGCGAGAGGCTATGGCTGCAGAAATCAAAGCACTTGAGGATAATCAGACATGTCATCTTACTGATTTTCCGTGTAGTAAACATGCTATTAGTACAAAATAGATCTTCAACATTAAGTATAATGCTGATGGATCGATAGCTCATTATAAAGCTCATTTAATTGCACTAGGGAATCACTAAGAGGAGGGGCTTGATTACTTTGCCCCAGTTTCCAAGATGACAACAGTTCGATGCTTCTTCAAGTTGGCTGCCACGAGAAAGTGGGAAATTCATCAAATAGATGTAAACAATGCTTTTCTTTATGGGGAATTAAGTGAAGAAGTTTACTTTGTCTTCCGCAAGGATTTTTTTGAATGCCTCTAACCAGGTTTGTAGACTTCTGAAATCCCTTAATGGTCTTAAACAATCTCCACGATGATGGTTTTCTACGTTTCAAAAATCTATGATTACATATGGTTTTAGACAGTCTACATCTGATTATGCACTGTTCTCTATGGTTTGTGGCTCAATCGAGTTATATGTTCTGATTTATGTGGATGACTTGGTGATTGGTGGGAATGATTCGGCAATAATTTAAGGGTTCAAAGACTATCTAAACAATTGTTTCCACATGAAAGACTTGAGTGTTGTTCGGTATTTCTTGGGTATTGAAGTAGCACAGCAACATGATGGAATTTTTCTTTGCCAACGGAAATATTCCCTCGATATTGTTACAGAATGTGGTTTATTGGGAGATGATATAAGATTAGAATTACTCCAACTTATGATCACAAGATGATCAAGAGAATTCCAAGCTTATGGTGCGGAATGTGGAAAGAAGTCGGAATAAAGGTGGAACTGAGGTTGATTGACTCGCTCAATCGGTGGGTTGACTGAGTCGCTCAGTCGGTGGGATGGCTGACTCACTCAGCCGTTGGAACTAGCCATGCCTGAATCACACAAACAAATTTATTCCAAGAATCAGTAAAAACAAAAGAATCACTAATTGAATTTAAAGACATGTTGTTTAAACAAAGAACACTTTTTGAATAAAAAAAGAATAAAGTTTTATATTTTATTAAATAAAAAGGGTGTCTTACAAATGTAACAACTATGAGCATATATAGACTCAGTACACGTCCTAGACAATAACTTTAAAGAGAGAATTAAGCAAAAATCAAAGAAAGATTAACAAGAGATTAAAGAGATTTTGACCCATCTAATGACCTATTTATTATGAAACATGACTCTTCTATAAGAGAGGTCCACTAGTTAGTCTGTGAGTAATTTGTAATTAGTCTACCATTAGTCTGTCAATAGTCTAACCAATCAGTCTGTCAGTAGTCTGCATTCAGTATGCTGTTAGTCTGCCACTAGTCTGCCATTAGTCTACAAATAACAGTATTTAGAAAGGTAGCACTGATATTTATAAAAATCACAAAAGAAATTATTTTTACTATTTTTCATCAATAAAATACTCATTTTATATTATTTTATCATTCTGGTTTATTTTAGAATATTTCTTCTAAATTGTATTTAAAATAAAAACCAAAAGCTATACAAAATGAGAATTGTTCTGATGTAAGAAAAGAGTACGAAAATAATATTTTTGATTACTTTATTATGTATGCATGGGTTCTTGCAAGTTCTGATTTGGTTGTTTAGGAATTAAACTGAGATGGTAGTCGTTGGCCAACTGACGACTGACGTCATACGAAGTAAAAAATGTTGTTTGGTTTAGCTCCTTATTTATTTACCACTTATGGTAAGAAACCCAAATTCATGAAATTACAAATAAAAAGTTTCCAAGCTTGTTTGATTTGTCTGTAATGTGACATGATTTTTGTGTTGTATCTTCTGATCGAGCATCTTGTTGCACTGCTTGAATGTTTGAACTTTCTAGTCTAATATAAAGTCCAGATGAAAAAAAAACAAAGACGGTGGATTTTAATGTTTTTAAGATTTTTGGTTATAAATAAAAAATATACTGTATAAAATAAAACATATTATAAGGTGATTTAATATATTTTTTTGTTTTGGTTTGGATTCGAAATATTAAAAAAGATAGTTATAAATAAATATAAAATTTGTAAATGGTTCCACCTCTATTCAAAAGCAACTTTACATATGCTCTCTATGTGCATGTTCTTAAAAACTTTTTATCACGAGATAGTCCATATGAATATCAAGAGAAAATGCTCTAAAATAATTCAGAATGAGAAAATAATATGAAACGGATACTCTATTGAGAAAAAATTGTGATAACAACCTCTGTTTTATGGTTTTTTCAAATACTAGCACACTTTTCTAACTACTTTTACTTGCAGACTAATGACAGACTGAATACAGACTACTGGCAGACTAATTAGTCTTATAATTGAATGTAGATTATTTACAGACTAATGAAAGACTAAATGCAAATTACTGGTAGACTAACAACAGATTAAACACATTAGTAGACCCTTCTTATTGATTATTTTAGGAATGATCATTTTTCATAATAAAATTGTCAAATGGATCATTTCAAAAATTATCGTATTTAGAGGAAATGCTAATTTAATCTCATATCCAATTAAGACCCATTATATATGTACTTTTTTTTTTGAACATTTGCTTTCCATTATATATGTACTTGACTGATACGTGTGATGGTGTGATAAACCTACTTATCCATGTTAATTAGAGTGGATAAAAAAAATTGTAACCGTAGAAAACAAACCGTACCAAATTGAAATAGTTTAACCATAAAATGGAAATTTTTACAAAGTGTTTACTATTATTTTAAAGTTCAAAAAAGTTAGAACCAAAGCCAAACTGAAACTGATATTCTGTAAAATCAGACTAACCAAATCAAATTATGAAACCATGCGGTTTATAAAAAAATGTTTTTTTAATTTATTCTTAACTACATCCGAACCAAAACATGTAATTGCATCAGATTACAAATGGTTTAATGGTTTAAGATGAATTTCATTTTATTGAACCAATAAAAGCTATAAAAAAAAACCGAACCGCAACTGAATGCTCATTCCAAAGATTTGTGTCGAACAAATCCGGATTGAATGCAAGTCTAACCGAGCGGTTTTAAGAACACAATTAAAACGTGCATGCACTGATTCTTTTCAAACAATAGTCTGACGACTCTGACCTAAAGTAGATGTATCATCTGACGTCTTTTCCTAACCATGTTGTTTCTCCAGAAAATTTCAGTTTTCTAGAACAACAAAAAGATGATAGTAAAAATCAAGCAACATCTATAGTTAAGAAAATAATCACCTAATATATGCAAACTTGCTGTAATGGGCATGACCAAAATAATAATAAATACTAAATGGACCCATTATCACAGTATATATATATACTATCAACACTCGTTCACATATATTCTGTCCAAATAAGAGTTTAAAGTACCACAAGAAAGAGTGGAACTAACACATAACAAAATGATGATCCTAAGGCTGGCTCTAGCCGCCTTCTTCTCCGCCTCCGTGGCCGCACAATCAGCCTTAACGACGTCGCTTATAACCTATATATTTGGCGACTCGTTAACCGAAGTTGGTAACAACAATTATTTGCAATATTCGCTTGCGAGATCAGACTTTCCATGGTATGGTGTTGATTTCTCCGGCGGAAAAGCTACCGGAAGATTCACCAACGGTCGAACTATCGGCGATATCATATGTATATTTTCTCTCTTTCTCCATATACCTAACCTATGCAGATAAATATATACGTACACGTGCATGTAGGGTTCTCATGATATAGAACCAAATCATAAATATTTTACTTTTACCATTCAAAAAAATTTATATGTATACTATAGCTACGAAGCTTGGGATTCCATCGCCACCACCATATCTGTCGTTATTACGAAACGACGATGCATTTCTCAACGGTATCAATTACGCATCTGGAGGAGCTGGAATCCTCAACGAAACCGGCCTTTACTTCGTATTATTCTTAATCACATTTCCTCTTCCTTTTTTATATTCTTTAGGAATTTAAAAATTAATTAGTATTCTTGTTTTGATCGAGCAGATTCAAAGGTTGACGTTTGACGATCAAATAATTTGTTTCAAGAAAACTAAAGAAGTTATTAGAGCAAAAATCGGAGATAGAGCTGCGAACAAGCATGTAAATGATGCCATGTACTTCATTGGCTTAGGTATTAATTTAAAACTAAGCCACTTGGTTTATAGTTTTTATTCCCCTTTTTTCGTTGTGTAAGGAAAATTACGATCGCATTAACATAACTTTTGTTTTTAATTTAAAATAGGAAGCAATGACTATGTAAACAATTTCTTGCAGCCATTTATGGCAGATGGGCAACAATATACACATGACGAGTTTGTCGAACTCTTGACCTCAACCCTACACAATCAGCTTACGGTATTCCAACCAACTTCTACTTCCCTTTCATTTCCATTTGGATTATACTATATAGTATTCACCTAATAAAAAAGTAGTCAAAGGACATTTACCTAATAATCCGGATTAACGGAACCGATCCGATCCACTCCATACCACACTAAATTAACTGATCTGAAACGGAACCATATCTTAGTACCGTTCAACTAGATTCATTTTTTCTATAACCGAAAACTAAAACCAAACTGAACCGAAAAGAAATAAACAATTAATTGATTCGGTTGATTCTTGAATAAAATTACACCAAAAAACCCAAACCCCGTAAAAATCGATCAAAAACTGAACCGAAACCTTGATTGAATACCCCCTATAATAAAGTACTATATTTCTGCTATGTGTCTTAATTAACACATGAAAAATTTGGGTTTGGGGAAGCAGACGGTATACGAACTAGGAGCGAGGAAAGTAATATTTCATGGACTAGGACCATTAGGATGTATCCCATCACAAAGAGTGAAGTCAAAGACAGGCATGTGTCTTAAGCGTGTTAACGAATGGGTAATGGAGTTTAATTCAAGAACCAAGAAGCTTCTGCAAGATCTCAACAAGAAGCTTCCCGGAGCTAAATTTGCCTTTGCCGATACTTATCCCGCCGTCCTGGATCTCATCAATAATCCCACTCACTATGGTAAGGAAAATCAAATTATTTTCCCCAAAATCAAAATTCAGAGTTTGCGTTTAAACATCTAGGTAATGTGTTTTCGCCAATTTCAATAATTCGGATAAGTGTCAAGTTCAAAATCTATTACTTTGAGTACTTCAGTAAATTCAAATAATTTTGAATAATTAAAAAAATTGTTTAGTTTTGAATATTTTAAGATTCTCTTTAGTAAATTTGAATATGTAAGTTGTCAGATAATAACTTAAATTAATGAAATAACTATTTTTAGGAATGCGATTATACGAATATATGAAAAGAAGTTGTGGACGGTATGGGTCAAATTAGTTATCGAATTTGTTTTCTTGTTAAAGTTCATGTTTGCGTTTTGTAAATTAACGCCATTTTACAATAAACACAGGGTTTAAGGTGGCGAACACGTCGTGTTGCAACGTAGACACGAGCGTTGGAGGTCTTTGTCTTCCCAATTCAAAGATGTGTAAAAACCGTAAGGACTTTGTCTTTTGGGACGCATTTCATCCGTCCGATTCAGCTAATCAAATCTTGGCCGATCAACTTTTCTCTTCTCTTCTCTCTTCTTCTCCTTCTCCTGCTCCCGCTCCTAACCGCCACTAGTATATAAAAAAAAGCGTATTAAACCAGTCTCTTGTTATCTACTCTTTATGCCGGAACTACTTAATTCATAGATGCATGTGTAATTAATTATATGTTCTTGATGTAACCATCGGGACAAGTATATATGTGTAACTTGTGTAGTTACACAAGTATTTTTTATTTTGAGGTAAGTATGGTTTTCTATGTTTCGTTAAAACATCTTATCACAATCCGCGTGTGTTTAGGGCAACACCGGCCCTGAGATTAAGCAGATTATGGAACTGGTGACCAAAGGAATGAGGATGAATAATGAATTCCTCTTCATTCTTTAAATTTTTTACCATTCACTAGTAATATTTGTTCCATGTTATTCTCTCTCATTCCTTATTATTTAAAGAATTATAGAACAAAAGTATTCTTTATAAAATATGGAGAGGAACAAAAAAATATTCTTTATTTCTTTATATGTATTTTATTCCTATTGATTCCTTTTTTTTGTTCTTTTTATTCTTTTCTTTCTCATTCCTATTCTTTTTTTATGTGTCACCAGTTAGAGCCTATGTTTGCGACCCTTTTATTATGGGGCAATTACCAAAAAGAACCTAAAAATTAGATTTTTCAAAAAGTTTAAACTTTTATTTAATGTTTGGCAAAACTAACTTAAAAAGATAGTGAAACAGCCCAATCCTTTATGAGTAAACAAAAAACGTCTGCCACAGTGATTTTATCTCTGAAAAGTCTACGTAAGAAGTCTACTATTTTAGACTTCTAAAAATGTTTACTTTTGTAGACTTTTAAAGAAATCTACATAAGTAGACTTCACAAGAAGTCTACTACATAATTAGCTTTAAAAAGCTAATCCGAAAATATAAAATAAATAAAATTCAAAAAAATTGGTAAACATAAGTAAGACATATATATTTGACATATATTGAATATAAAATTTCATACAAATGAATCAATTTAAATGTAGAAAGAAAAATTTAATAGAAAACAGCACAGCCCCTTAGAAGTCTACTAGATAACTAAATCTTAAATTTTATTTATTAAAATTATAAAAAATATTATGATACAAAAATTATAAACATAACTAAAACATAGACAATTAGCATCTATATTAAATAAAATATCATGAAAATAAATCAATTTATAAGTTTCACAAGTATAAGGTTGAAAAGGGTTAGGGTTTGAAGTTCAAAATGGTTAGGGTTTGAGATGTAAAGTATAGGGTATTGTTAGGATAAACCCAAATTCTATATGAATGATAGTTTATGGTTTGGTTAATGATTTAGAGTCCATATCATTGTTATTTGAACTTTAAAATGTGAAAATTGTAAGAAAATTAGTGTTTTGATACAAGTTTAAATCAAAAATATTTGATTTAGGGTTTAGGGTAAACAGACTTATGCAGTAGACTTCTCAGGTAGACTTCTCCAGTAGACTTAAAAAAACGTAGCGGGAAATTGAAATTATTTAACAAATTGGACGGGAATCAAAATCGAAAAAACATATTGAAGTAGACTTTTCGAGTAAGTCTTCTAACCAAAAGTTTTCCTACATATATAAGGAGAATATAACCTAATTGTGTTAACAATAAAGTTTTTCTCTCCCTCTAGAAAACGCCTCTCTCTCCTCTACCTCATCTTTGGCCATGAATCTCTTCTCCTTCCTCTCTTGCCATCAATCTCATCTCCATCCTCCATCCTCTCTATCTCGATTATGGTGATGGTAAGTAAATATGAGGTTTTGTGTTTCTTTTGTTGTTTGCTTTGTGTTCATATCGTAAATCTGGGTTTATTATTAGATATTTGAGCTTGTTGTTGGAGACCTGAGTTTAGTTTTACAAATATGTGCTTATTGTTGTATAGATCTAAAAGGATATGGAAGATCACAATATTAGTAGTAAATATTATATATTTATTATATAGAATATTTTTGATTATCTAGTTTAGGAAAACCTCTACTATATAAACATATGTAAAACGATGATTGTAATTCATGAGAGCAATATACAATTCTTCCTAAACACTTAAGTGTTCTTCTCTCACCAATCTTTAATATGGTATCAGAGCGGGTTGCTCCAAAGTTTTGATCTAATGATCAAACTTCTTTTTATTTTTGATTTCTTTAAGCTATAATGTTTCTTTTTAATTTGTTTTCTGTTAAGCCAAGTGCTTCCAAAATTCAAGTTCATCATGAACCTCTGAATCTAAGCTATAGAGCCCCTTCTTATTCAAGTCTATCAAAGACTTCTGAATCTCAGCTTAATATTTTTCTCTAATTCATGCATAAATGCATCTGAATCCAAGCCATTGAGCTTCCTTGTTTTATTTATTTTTTCTTCAAATCATAGATTTTCTGATTTCAAAATTAAAAAAAAAACCAAAAAAGAAAAAAATGCACGATTTAAAGTGTATAAGTCTCAACACAGCTGCGACTCCACCATCTCATCATCACAACGAGATCTCCGCTGCATATCCCACATCAAATCTCCATCGTCATTTTATCATCAGTTCTGATTCATTATTGATCAATCCAAATAAACCTCAAGCAGCTAATTCCGCTTTGCTTCATCACCCCCTTGAATTCGAAGGGGCGTATAGAAGGATATACAGAGATCTAAAAGGATATGGAAGATCCACAATATTAGAAGTAAATATTATGTATTTATTATATAGAATATTTGTGATTATCTAGTTTATGAAAACTTCTACTATATAAACATATGTAAAACGATGATTGTAATTCATGAGAGCAATATACAATTCTTCATAAACACTTATGTGTTCTTCTCTCATCAATCCTTAATACTTAGTACTCGCAAAGATTCATATCATCATATACAAAGTTCCTCCAAATCTTTGTGATGGGTCTTAATTAAGGTTCAACACTTACAGCTACTCGTTCAAGATTCGTAGACTTGTTACAATAAGTTATATGGAAAGTGTAAGTTTCGATTCACTATCTATTATGAGAATTTGTCGTCTTCTTCTGAAATATGTTGAACAAGAACTTTGGGGGGGAGGGGTTGTGATAATATGATGGTGTGGATCAGGCACACTATTGCAAGATGTTGTAGCCAAAATCTGCCTTTGTGACATTAAATTCCAAAACAAATTTATATGGCATCAAGACAACTTGCCTTGGAATTTGGTAAATTGTAAGGTCCAAACTTGTTGCCCAATTGCATCTGAAGAACTAAGACACTCTTTAAAAAAAAACACGAAAACTAATGGAATCGAGAAGTTTGGGCATCCTCACCTACATTTTGAGCTTGAAAGTGTAAAACGCGTCTTTCTCCACAAAACGTCAATCTGCGTTTTAAAAGATCCAAAACAAACCAATTTATCATAAACAAAAATAACAATCTAACGTAAACACAGCAGTAGCTAAGCTTAACAATAATTTAAATTTTACTACCTTTCGCTGTTGGAGTTGACCTGCAAAGGATGGCATGAGTTTTCCTTTGCGAAACTTCCTCTCTGTCTTAGATTGATACTCACAAGATCCCCACCCGGAACCTTTCCAGCCATAAAAGTGATGTATGACTTGAATCCATTTACCCTACACAGATTAGCCCTCACAATGGATTCTTATGTCACATTCGATCCCTACACAAAAACATCTTGTAATTATTATTGGCAAGCTAATGCCTAAGATGATATATAACCATATGTAAGTATATCATTACTTAGCCAACCTTGATCTCGTTGTATGTATCTAGAGCCACATCTACCATGTCTTCCATGTACTCGCCACTTGAAAGTCCTGTAGGCTTTAAGTCTTTATTAAGATCAACAAGAGTAAACAAGAGAAATCTCCCAGTGTAGCATTCTCCACCCACGTAGAAACCCTAACCACAGTCATTTGCACTTTACGATATTTAAAAATTTACAAATTTTTAATCCTTAAACTTTGGCCTTCATTGGGTTTCAAAGTTATTGTATAAATGCACACTATTCGATTCATGAAATCAATCTGTTAGGCTTTTCAATTATATGTCTAACTCTCTTATTTATTAGTATGATATTGTCCGTTTTGGGCCTAATTGGCAAAATCCGCACAGATTTGTCTTTGAGCTCATCCCAAAAGGCTTCATACTAATCAGAGTTAGACACTACTTATATATTAGAACATTATTGTATAATGTTCCAATGTTGGATTTATCTTGATATCCCAACAATCCTCCCCTCTAACCAAGGACCATATTAATCCTTGGCATCCAACCTTCCGCGAAACCTGGCACCCATCTTGTACCGCTGTACGCACCAACGAAATTTTTAACCTAACCCCTGCAACACCGTTAGGAAGACTTTCGACACAAGACACCAACACCTTTAATTGCAAGGTCACCTTGGAGGCTCTCCTCCCACAATGAACATACCCAACACCCACTTCCCGAGGTTCACCTTTTAAGAACCTTGGCTCTGATGCCAATTGGTAGGTTTTTCAAGTTCATGTCCAACTCTCTTATTAGTATGATATTGTCCATTTTGGGTCTGAGTGGCAAAACCTGCATGGATTTGTCTTTAGACTCTTCCCAAAAGGCTTCATTCTAATCAGAGTTGGACACTACTTATATATATTAGACCATTGCTGTATAATCTTCCAATATGGGACTTGAATTGATATCCAACACAATTAAAAAAAAAACATATATATATATATATATATATATACCTTGTTCTTGTGCATGTGAGGTCTATATAGACGCATTCTTTCAAGTTCGTCATCAGAAGGAGCTGTGGTCCTTGGGGGTTTGAAATCAGAGTTGTCGTCGAAACTATCCACGTCCCAATCTTAGCCACTTTCACGATTGGACACATTACTATCATCACCATAACTCGAAGTATCCAAGTTTTCAATTTCCCTACTTCTTCTTCTAGTTCTAGATACAGAGAAAATATAAATGTTTACGAAACTTAAATATGAACAAGTGGCAAACTAGTATATGAGTTTGCATGAGAAATTATTTTCTAAGATGTTGTTAGTCTTAATCTAGCATGATAAATTCTTCAAAATTATAAAAAAAAAAAACAAGTACCTTTGGGTTTTGGGGTTTGGAGTTGGCCTGCAAAAGATGATGTGTGAGTTTCCTTTTGCCAAATCCTCTTGAATGCAAAAAATGAGATAGCAAAGTTTTGGTCTTTACATACAATTACATTTATCAAGGAACCTGAAATAAAACTAGGAAGTATATATACCTTTCTCCGGTACATCTGAGATCTGTATGATGCATTCTTTCACCTTACTCATCATCCTGTTCTTGTCCCTCCTCGTGGCTTGACACATCACGCTCCTCCCCAGTCCCCGTTTCCCCCTTCTTCCTCTTCTTCTTCTTTGTCGACACCACCATCTCTATATCATCCGCCTTGCACTTTTTTGAAGTCAGAGATCGCGTCTCCTCACAAAGCTCCATGGGCTTCGTCATCATATTTTCTTCCATGTTGATGGATTCACAAATCAGATGAGAACCGAGTATGCTAAGTTTACGTGTAAACTCCTCGATTAATGGATCAATGAAAATTCACCAACGTGACAACAAGAGACTACCTCACTGCTTCCTTTGTCAGTGGATCAACGTTGTTGTTTATTTTCATCTAATTTCAGTATTCTTTTCAATGATCTCTAGTTTAAGTATTAAAATGAGAGTTGTCGATTCCCATTTTCGTTCATTTGATGAAAAAAAACAATTGTCTGACAGATCTAGGTCTTGGCATATTTTCTAGACTCGAAGTACTGAACTGAAAGATATCTAATTAAATTGGAATCGACATAAATATTCGAATAAAACTTACAGTCTGATATTAGAAGAGGGATCTGAATCCGAACTGAACTGAAAACTTAATCGGTATCTAAAATATATCCAAAATTATTAGTTACATATAAATTTGAAATAATCAAAATACCCAATTCTATTTATAAATTGAATACAATTAGACAAAAATAATTGAGATGTTGAAAAATGATGATGGATGATGAATTTCACAATCGCAAGAGCTTGAAGCATTGGCTATACGTTACTATACACTTTTGTACTCAATGGAGGATAAACTGCCACATGATGGATTTGTTAGTCTAATTCGGGAGGAGCTACATGACTTGGAGCTACATGACTTGAATAAACCTTTTTCGGTTTTGGAAGCGTCGATATAAAGTATGGGAAAGTATAAAGTACTGGATCCAGTTGGGTTTTAACTAGTATTTTAAGATTTCTGAGATGTTGTAGGGATCTTGGTTATTTGCTTTGTTCTGGATTTCTTCACAACAGGACTTTTACCGAGTGGAACAAATGATGCAATCGTAGTTCTGATTGTGAAAGTGCCGAAGTTGGAGAGAATAATGCAATTTAGGCCAATAAGCGTATGTAATGTATTATTCAAAACCATTACGAAAGTCATTGTCATGCGGCTGAAATGTGTTACGTCGAGACTTATAGGACCAAGAAAGTTTTATATCGGGGAGGTTGACATGCAGATATTATTGTCATTGTGCAGGAGGTTGTGCATTCGATGAGACGTAAGAAGGGTCGGAAATGATGGATGCTCTTAAAATTAGACCTTGAGAAAGCTTATGATCGGATTCAATGAGACTTCTTGGAAGATACTCTCCATGAAGCACAATTACCGGAGATATGGTTTGGATGAATAATGAAGTGTGTAGCTGGACCATCAATGAGCTTGTTGTAGAATGGAGAGCATGCATAAGCTTTTAAACCCCAATGTGGTCTACGACAAAGTAATCCCTTATCTTCATACTGGTTTATCCTTTGGCTTGAGAGATTGTGCCACCTCATTAAGCATTCGATTGCTGTGAAAGCATGGAGGTCAATTAATCTCTCTCGTGGGGGTCCCAAGTTGTCACATATCTGCTTTACAAATGACCTAATCCTATTTGGGAAAGCATCTGTAGCTCAAATTTGAGTGATAAGAGGATTGTTGTAGAGTTTCTGTGTCGCTTCAGAGCAAAATGTGAGTCTAGAGTAGTCAAAGATTTTCTTCTTGGGCAATGTCATTCGAGACATGTAGAGAATGATAAGTGATGAAAGTGAGATTCAGTCGACACGAGAGTTGGGAAGATATCTAGGAATGCCGATCTTACAAAAGAGGATAAACAAATAAATGTTTGGGGATGTTCTCGAAAGAGTTTCATCACGCCTAGCGGGTTGGAAGGGCCGAATGTTGAGATTTGCGAGAAGGTTAACACTTATCGAGGCAGATTTGTCATCGATTCTGGTTCACTCCATGAGTATAATAGTCTTACCGAGATTGACACTTAAAAAGTTAGACAAACTCTCAAGATCATTCCTATGGAGAAGTACCACATAATAGAGGAAACAACACCTTATCACTTGGAAAAGAGTGTACTTACCAACAAGAGAAGGTTGATTGGAGATTAGATTAGCACAAGACATGAACAAGGCTCTCCTATCTAAGTTGGGTTGGAGATTGCTAAATGATTAGACAAGCCTTTGGGTAAAAGTGCTGCGAAGGAAGTACAGAGTTTGTGATGTTCATGATACGTCATGGACTCGAGTTAAGGAAAATTGGTCATCAACATGGAGAAGTGTGTGGATGGTAATGAGAGAGGTGGTTATTTTGGGACAGAGGTGGGTGCTTAGATATGCCAGCACGATCCATTTTCGGAGAGATAAATGGCTTACAAGGGTAACTGGAGGAGGTTGTAGATGCTAGTGCTCGAGATTTATGGGGAAATGGAACAGGTTGGCTCATCAGTCTGATTGCTCCACATATCTCTTTGAACATGAAACTTCACTTTGTATTTGTGGTATTAGATGATATTACGGGAGCAAAGGACACATTGTTCTGGGGCAAAATTCAAGATGAAGAGTTTACAGTAAAGTCCGCTTATGACTTTATTACGAGAGATAACTCACCTAGACAAAATATACAACAACTGTTTGATCAGGGATGGAAAGTTGTAGCTCTAGAAAGAGTGAAAGTGTTTCTATAGTTAGTTGCGAATCAGGCTATAATGACCAATATAGAAAGACATAAAAGACATCTAAGCAACACAAGTATTTGTCAGTTGTGCAAAGAGGGGAGGGAGATGAAACTATCATTCATATACTAAGAAATTTCCCTACAATGGCAGGAGTGTGGGACCGTAAGTACCCGTAAGAAAGCATAGTTAGTTTTTTTAGAAGTCATTACATGAGTGGCTCTATGAGAACATAAACGAAAATACAGAGGTGAAGGGTAGCTGTTGGTCTACAGTGTCGGCAACGGCAATATGGTGGAATTAGAAGTGGAGATGTGGTAAGGTTTTTTGGGTTACGGGAAAGTGCATGAACATGGTGCATTTTCTTATAGATCTGGCCAAAGAAGTTTTGTTTGCTTATGTGAAAGTGAGAGGAAACGCTAAGTGGATAGTGAGGGTGGAGAGATTAATATAGTGGATCCCATCATCCTACCATTGATATAATGAGTGAAACTTAATAATGATGGTGCATCACATGGAAACCATGGAGCTGCAACGGCTGAAGGAGTTTTACAGGATGAGTTTTACAGGATGAGTTTGGGAGCTGATGTGGAGGTTTTGTGCTGAATATTAGAATATGTTCAGCACTATTAGTAGAGCTATGGGGAGCCTACTATAGACGTTTCATAGCATGGGAGCGCCGGATCACTCGCTTGGAACTAGAGGTGGATTCGAAGAAAGTGGTTGATTTTTTTTAAGACAGGGATAAATGATTCTCACCCTATGTCTTTCCTAGTACGTCTGTGTTATGACTTTATTTCAAAGAACTGAATAGTCCAGATTACTCATCAAGCTAATCGTCTAGCAGATAGATGAGCAAATTATGTGTTTTCTTTACCCTTAGGTTTGGATTTGTTTGATTTGAAACCGAATAACATTAGTTCAATTCTGTTAGATAATGCAAATGGGTCTACACGATCACGACATGTTTGGTTATAGTTCAGTATTTTTTACTTTATAAATTGTAGGAGATGAATCTCTCACCTCTCGATTAAAAAAATAAATAACTAAAATAGTTAAAATATCTAAAAATTAGATATATTTATCAAAATTAAATATTATTTTTAATGTAACCAAATAGTTGAAATATTCAAAATATTTGAATTTTTCAGGTATTTTATATAAATTTAATATAAATCTAGATGAAATCAGACTAAATCCGAACTAAAAAAAAAATACACAAATAGATCAGCTGAAAGAATTGATTAGATTGGGTCGAGAATATCTAAATGCCCACCCTAGACAAATGATTTGTCAGAAATCCATATGATATTTGCCTTGACCTTCACCATCTCAGCCCAACTTACTAAGGTCGTTAGATTTGTTCAACCATGATTAAACCGAGGACCAAAGATAACATATTCATGTACAAAGAATCGGTGATTTGGTATTTGTAAGAACATTTGCATTGATGAAAGACTCACACTGAGATGAAATGTATACAGTGAGATGAGTATTTCATAATCTTTTATTTGAAAAACTTTCTCAATTTTCTACTTTTTTTAACTTTATTAATATTTTATTTTAAAAGATTTGATGAGAGACTATCAATGGATATGGTCTAAAAAGTTAATAATATTCGTACATTTTCAAATAGAATGAATCTTATATATTACTTAAAATAAGACTGTAACTGGTGTACACATTAAAGTAACAAAAGAAATCAATAGAAAAGGAATAAAGAAAATAAAAGAATAAGAATTATTGTTCCTTTCCAAATTTGATAAGTAATATTTTTAACTCTATAGTTCTTTAAAATATAAGAAATGAAAGGGAATCATAGATACTATATATTACTTGTAAATAGTGTAAATTTTAAAGAATAACTAGGTGACCGGCCTGCACCATGTGCAGACTATAATATATTTTATATATTAAATATATGATAAATATTTTATATTAAATATGTTTTATTTGTATATGATTAATTAGAAATTAATAATATTATATAAACATTTAATAATTTAAAATAACAATCAATCAAATAAAAAATGTTATAGATTTCAATAGAAATTGAAGATAAAAAAACGTTAACTCATATTTTTATAATATGTTTTAAATCTTATCTACATTATATTTTTTTTTCCTTTGCACAATATAATCTTGTCAAAATATATATTTTAAGTATACATTTTTTTGACATATTACTAAATAAACCAAAATGAGTTTTACCATTACTAATTATCCTAAGAGTGGGTAGATGGTTGGTACGCATATTCGTGCGTACCAACCTTCTCACCGCTCTTAGGACATATAAATATTGTTTTTAATAAATATAAATTGACTAATAACTAAAATTAAAATTAGACTGTAATCGAGAATAAGAAAATATATGCACGACAAGTTTTCATGTGACTTTGATTTTAGCATAATTAATATTTATATCTACATGCATATTAGTGTGTTAAAATAAAATATAAAAATATATGTTTTGTAATATATATTTTTATAATGTATGATCGATTTTTTTATAAAAAAATATGTATATTTATGCATGTAGGTATGTGTTATAAATAAGTGAATTATAATATTTAGGTATTGGTTAGTTTTTTTGATATTTTCCATAAACTTTATGATTTTACAGAATAGAGCTTTTTGGCGTTTAACAACAATCATAAAAATAGTTTTTATCGTTTCGTATTTAATCAAAATTTCTTATTTTTTCAGCATTTTATGCTATATGAATTCTCAATAAAAATTATAATAAAATTTGTGAATTCTTATTTTATAAAATTCTCCGGTAGCACTCCGTTCATCTCTTTGTCAAATTTTTTATAGCTTGCAATCGCTCACTTCCACAAACTCTCTGTAACCGCAGCGTTTAAACCAGCCGGATCCTAAACTTATATGTGTATGGTTGTTGATGTAAAATAATATATTTAATATTTAATTGTTATATTACAAAATAAGAGATTTTCTGTTCCTAACTTTGATATATGTGCTAATTTTATATATAATGGATTATAACATATATATGTAATAATATTTTAGAATTTTGAAAAAATATATGCATAAAAAAAGTAATATGTGTAAGATAAAATTATTAAATATTTTAAAATAAAAATATAAAATCGATCAAAATTATTCTTTTTTATCTAATTTGACTCATATTTTTTTTCTTAACCTTGAATAATATATTAAACATTAAGATCATCTCCAATGTATTTTTTCTATTTTTTCCTCTAAAACATAGGTTGATTTCTCTCCAACCTCTTTCTATTTTAAAGAAAAAAGAAAGATTGTTACTTTTTCCTTCCATTATAGAAGAAAACATAACATCGCTATTTTTCCTCTAAATTAGAAGATTTAAAATAAAGGTGGGTGATAGATGCTTTAAACCAAAGATATAGCCTCAGAATTTTACAGAAAATCAAAGTCGTAAAGATTCATTTTTACTTTTACTTCTACTTCTTATTCATATACTTATTTATATCAAATAAAATTTATAATAAATATTTGTTATAAAATCTGTGCAATCATATTTTATAAAATTCTCCGGTAGTTCTCTGCTCATCTTTTTGTCCAATATTGAGGAATTGGTATGATGAAGAAAATAAATTTCTTATGGTTGGTCTGCACGTGTGTATTCATTATAAAATTTGAGCTACACATGTATTTATTATAAAATTTCTTTCTTAAAATTTTTAAGCGACTCCGTAAAACAAAGTTTGAGAGTGTTACAGAAAAACAAAACTGTAGAGATTTTTTTACTTCTAATTCTTATTCATATTTGTTTTTTCTTATTTATAATTTTTTTTATCCTGTTATATTGCGTTTTATTTCTGATATTAAATTCTCGATCTACAATGAGATTGTATATGAGTATGATATAAACTTTTAATTTATCTAAAAAAAGATAAGAGATATATTGAGATGGTAATGTAAGATACGCAAATTTCAAGAAACAGTAATATAAAAATGTTAAAAAATTATATACAAATAATAATATATCATACTCCCAACATTATTAATATATAGCGTATATACTAACTTATTGGATAATCTATTATTAATTTTCTATTTAAAAATATAAAATATATATTGGTTGTAAAATTTTCATAATCATTTTTATGTAATTTATTATAAATATATGTAAAAATAAATTGAAATCATAGTAACTAGTATTTTCTGTTATTTTTAGTTTTATAATCTAGTGTATTTATGTTATAATTTTATAATTTATTTAATTATAATTTAACTAATCAAAATATTTTATTTATTTTAAAAAATTTACCATGTCACAATTCCATGTCACAATTCCATGTCACTATTAATTTAAACTAACTTTTGCTAAGGTGATGATTAATCAGAATTTTTTATTAAATATATTTCTTAAATATTAGTTAAGATAAGAAATTTAATGTTCTTTTTCGTTCAGTTGATCACCAGTTAAAGTCAAATAGTTATCACTTACTATGAAAAATTAATTTCTTTGAAATTTCGATTGAAGTAAGTAAACGCTTTTTTTTATCCCATACTTGATAATTAACTGTTTAAACATTTGTTTATCAACATCAATATTTAGAGTATCTCCAACCCTAAATCAAATTTGGTTTCAAATTTCATTTTAGAATAAAATGTACTCCAACCCTATCTCATTTTCAATTGCATAATGGTATAATGCTATTTTTGATTTCAAATATAGAATCATTTTATGTTGAATTCTATTTTGCAATTGAACTTTTTTATTTATAAATTAGTCCTTCAAATTCTAAAATTTTTTGTTTTAAGAGATAAATAATTATTTTGATGATACTTTCTTTTTTAATTAATGATTATAAATATTAAAACATTCTAATCTTTAAAATTAAAATACAAATAACATTTATTTAGTAGAAAATATAATGACATAAACTATAATACATTTAATTTTTTTAAAATTAATTAAATGAAAGGATTATTTTGTAAATTTTGAAATATATATATATATATATATAATTAGTAATTAATAATAAAAATAATTTTAAAATATTTTTTTCAAATAAAAAATGCAATCATGCATTAGAGAAAAATCTAATTGCATTTCACAATTATTTCAATTTGGTATGAAAAATACTATCATACATTGAAGATGCTCTTAGAAACTCAGAATTGAAAAAACAAATCCAATCACCACAAGAAGTAGGCCTTTTGGGTTTACACAAACCAAAAGCTACATCTAGGAATCCAAAATTAAGCTAGTAAAATTGTAGAAGCATATGTTGTTAATTGTGTTATGTGAAAAGAAAGAAAAACAAAAAACAAAGATGGAAAAGAAGAACAATGGTGACATCTAATCTTAAAAGACAACAAAAGCAACAAAAGCGTGACAGAGAGCGAAAGACACCGTTTTTAACAAACTGACAAAATATAACACCTTGAGGTCTAGATTTTTGCCCTTTTCTCCTCTTCGCTCTGCTTCTCTCATTACCCAGAAACAATACAACAAATCGAACTAGGGCTACAAATTTTTTTGAATTTTGATTCATCAAATCCAGAATCCTAGTGCTAAACCGTCGGAACGATCCATTCTTTTAATATGGGTCTCTGGGATTCGCTTCTAAATTGGCTCAGGAGGTAAAATATCTCTTTACCCTTTGTGGATTTGTATCAAAATTTGTTGATAAGTTTTTATTTTAGTAATTTGGTACTTAATACAATAAAAAAGTTCTTTTTGTGCTTCCATTGAAGTAGTTGTAATTATGGTTTCCTCCAAAACCAATCAGCAAATTTCTATTTTGTCAGAAAGAGTCAACGAAACAGTGTCACTTGTGTTTCAAAATCTCAAACTTCTCTTGAGTCTCTTTGATTTATTGGGCGTTATATGAATTGTAATCATTAAGAAACCTACTGTTCGTGTGTACTGATGCTTTATGTGATCAATGTTAATTTACCCATAACATTGCAGAATTGTCTAATGATTGAATACAGGAAACACTTTAGGCGAATACATTTATCGTAAAGGTTAAAAGTTTGGTGTTGGTATATTAGTATTGATGTGTAGTTTTTTTGTTTTCTACTTATACTTTTAACCCGTTTATAGTATATAGCAGATCATTTTTCAAAAAGGTGGAAGCTTGATGAATGTTGTGAATAGTAGAAATAGCATAATCACGTTTCTAAATCGTGAAAAACTTTATCCTGATGGGAAAATTTGAAGTATGAACATCTTGAAACATCAGATTTTGATTCCGTGTCTGTATTTTGTCAGCTTGTTCTTCAAACAAGAGATGGAGCTTTCACTCGTTGGTCTTCAAAATGCTGGAAAGACTTCTCTTGTCAATGCCATTGCTGTGAGTAAAATCTTCAAGAGGTTTTAGTCCATAAATAGTATATATTCGAACGAATCTCTCTCTTACACGTTTCTCTTTGGCTTTTTTCAAGACTGGAGGTTACAGTGAAGATATGATACCAACTGTAGGATTCAACATGAGGAAAATCACAAAAGGAAATGTTACAATTAAGATTTGGGATCTTGGAGGGCAAAGAAGGTTTCGTACCATGTGGGAGCGTTATTGCCGTGGAGTTTCTGCCATTGTGTATATACCCTTTTAAAACCTTTTCGATATCTTTGAAGATTCATGTTACTATTTGGTGAAAGATCTTGATGTGGTTTTGTTGTTATGGTTATAATGCAGATATGTGATTGATGCTGCAGATCGAGATAGTGTACCGATATCGAAAAGCGAATTGCATGATCTATTAACAAAACCGTCTTTAAGTGGCATTCCTCTTCTGATTCTAGGGAACAAGATCGATAAGTCTGAAGCTATCTCTAAGCAAGTTTTGGTTGATCAACTGTAAGTTTATTGAAAACTCCATTGGAACTGGTCTGAAATCTGAATTCGAGGATGATAACTCGGGTTTGTTTTTGATGCAGAGGGCTTGAATCCGTAGCGGACAGAGAGGTTTGTTGTTACATGATCTCGTGTAAGGACTCTATAAACATCGATGCGGTCATTGATTGGCTCATTAAGCATTCAAGAACGGCTAAATGAACAGCAGATGCAATGTGCTCATCAACAAAACTTGCGTGTTGGTTTCTTGATGTTGTTTATTTGTCGAGAATCAATCAGATGTAAAGTCATCAGCTTTTTTTTATTTCTTCTTGGTCTTCTTCCATCTTGTTATCTTAAAATCTTGTTTTACAATTCTTCAAAGTTTAAATACTTTTCGTATTAGTACATTATGTTAAACATATATACACGTGTTGGGGATTTATGAAACGTACAGAATGCAGTTTGAACGGCTCGTGAAAATCAGAAATCTCGGTTTACTCTGGTTAGTGCCAAAGCAAGATAATAAGAAAAGTATTTGAAAGCAAGATAACAAGAAAAGTATTTGAACGGTGAGAAATTGTAAAACGAGATTTAGATAATAAGATGGTGGCCAAGAAGAAGTGTACAGAGAGTGCAATCTAAACGGCTCATGAAATTCAGAAATCCCGGTTTAATATAGTTAGTGTGTTAAAGCTTCCTACTAGTGTAAATTCTTCAGCTTCTTGGTTATCTTGTTCACAATTGATTAAAATAATTTTAAATATTAGCTTTTGGTAAACATACTCTTGTTTGATTTATGCAATACACAGTCCAACTTTATGCAAACTTTAGACTTATGATGAAAACCAAGAACCGGTTTAGTCCGGGTATACTACAGATCATTTGGTTCGTGTTTTGCGTCTTGTTCATATAATCATTTGAAATATAATCATGATTGATGGAATCTATAAGTTGATGCTAATTCATAGGGTGGGCAAAAAAACAGAACCAAAGTAAATTAATCTGAACCAACCGAACCCGAACCGAATCAAACCAAACCAAAGTTTATATCAAAACATTTCAGTTAAGATTTCTATCAACCCGAATGGTTCGGTTTGGTTCGGTTTAATACCAAACCAAATCAAAAAACCAATATGTTTTCTTAATTATTAAATTATTAATGATTAATAATATTAATTATCTTTAACAATTAACACATTAACAATATTATTTAAATACTGTCTTTAATTCTTAAATCTCAAAAGGAAAACCTAAAATGCATGCTACATCTAATCACTTAGGTTTCATTTATAAAGAAAACGAAATTGTTTACAGTTTCAAAGTAATAATTTTTTTAATTTTGATATTGATTTTGCATTATGTTTATATAAGGTGCTTTTTGCAATATGTTAACCGAACTAAACGAATCTAAATTAATTATAACCAAACTAAACCGAATTGTATTTAAACCGAACCGAACCAAATCCAAACCGAATTAAGTTTGGTTGAGTTTGGTTAGAGTTTTAATAAAACTGAACTAACCAAACTGAACTGAATCCGAACCGAATCCGAAAATAAACCGGAATGCCATGCTAAATGCTTCTAAAGGGTATACACATATGATTTAAAAGATTTTATTCTATTGGTACACATCATCATTTATAGTTAATTATATATATATTAAAATTAATTAGTTTTGTTTTTATTATTATTAGTAAACTTTTTAATTTTAATTAATTTTATTTTTGTTGTTATTGGAAAATTTTGTAAATTTTTAGATAATTATGAATAAAAATAAGTTTAAAATATATGGAAATTAGATCTTATTTTTCTATTGAAAATAAATATAAAATTAACATATTATTAGATTATAAAAATCATAAAAATAATAAAATATTCATTTCATTGGTCCACATTATTTTCTGTAATAAATTATATTTTTAAGTTAATTATTTTCTTTTTTGACTTACTTATATACTATATAAAAGTTGATGACATAGTGCATTGAGAACGTCCACATAGGACGAAGAAACTCGATCTGATTGGTCCACATCAGCAATTTTTATTAAACAAAAAAATTTTAAATATGATTAGTAATTTGAATAAATTAAAATACACAAAAAGAAAAAATATCATGGTAGAATGGAAAATAATAAATAAAAAAGTTTAACTAACAAAACAGATAAAAAAAGTTATATCAGAAATCCAAATTTATAGCTTTTGTCAAAATAAAATGAAAACTAAATGTCACAAAACCTAAACCAATAAAAAAAGAAATATGTAAATCTATAACGAAAAGTCAAATTTAACAAAAGAGATTTCAATATACTTTAAATGAAAAAATTATTTAAATTTAGCTTTAACTAACTATTAAAGAAATCAATATAAAATAACTAAAACTGTAAAAGAACTATTTAAGAAAGTAATATAAAATAAACAAAAACAAATATAATGTAAATTATGTTTTAGAAAATGTTAATACAATTAAAATTGAAATTAATATAAAAATAATATTAAAAACATTATTGAAAAACAATTTGAGATGATATATATGCTAACTATTTAAAAAATCAATATAAAAGAGTCTCATTAACAGAAAAGGAAAGAATTAACTGTAAAAATGTTAATATTTACAAAACAATAATGTTTCAAAATTAAATAAGAATCAATATAAAAAAAAAGTAAACTAACAAAGAAACAAAAGTCATATAAAAAAACTAACTTGATATTTAGGTTAACATTTTTTATAAATTAACATCAAACAAAATCAATAACATAAAGTTAAATTAACAAAAGAACTTTTTTAACATATATACTTTAAATGACTAATTTTTTAAAATTTATCTTAAACTAACTATTAAAGAAATCAATATAAAAAATAAAGCTTTAAAAAACTATGTAAAAAATTAATATAAAAATGAAAAAAACAAATAAAATATAAATGATGTTTTACAAAATGTTAATAAATTTAAAATTGGTATTAATAACAAAAACAAATATTAAAACAATCATATAAAAAATTTGACTTGATATATATGGTAACTATTTAAAAATTTCAATATAAAAGAGTCTCATTAACAGAAAAAAGAAAAGAAAATTGTCTGTAAAAATGTCAACATTTACAAAATTATGTTTCAAAATTAAATAGAATCAATATAAAAAGTAATCTAACAACGGAAAATGTCATAAAAAAAACTAACTTAATATTTAGGCTAACATTTTTTAAAAACTAACATTAAAAACTTTAAAAACAAAAACAAAAACAAATGATACAGTAATATTTTGAGAGAAGTCGATATTAGATTTAAAATGAACAGTTATAGTATGTCAAATCAATATTATAAATAAAATGAAAACTAATATTAAAAAATAAAATTTAAAAAATAAAAAGCATTCAAGTAAAATAAATTAACTTGATATCTGTGCTAGCTATTTTGAGAATCAACAACCAAAAAGTATAACAAACATAAAAAAAACAATTATATAGATTAAAATAACATATAAATTTACTATCAAAAGATGTAAACTAAAAGATTTTTAAAGTATTGGTATCTACAATTAATAACTATATAAAGTTGTAATAAGTTTATATAATTTTTTAAATCAAACATATTTTTTAAATATACAAAAGTTAATATAGTAGGTACTTCTGACTTAAAATCTAACAAAAAATACTACATAAGTAACTTTACACTCGAAATTTAACAAGCAGTAAAATCTGATTTTTATATATATCTACTACTTATATCTGAGCCAACATTAATAACATATGAGTAACACCTTCTAAAATTATATTTAAATAATAAAATATGATAGAGTTAAGAATCAAACTCAAATTGATATATCTAGATAAAATATTCAAATGAAAATATGCAGAAAACACACAGAAGATAAAAACAGTAAAACAAATATAAAGACTGCACACCATCCATCCTACAAGTTTAAAAACTAGAATTATCAAATATTAGACTGCCAAAAAAAAAAATTCAATGATAAACTGAATAAAGATATAAAAATAAAACCCATGGAAGACATGATGAAGAAGTAGAAAACGGCTTTGTACTATCATTGCAGTTTCTAACAAAACTAAATGTGAATCAACATGAATCATGAATTATATATATGCATAGATACACAGCATCAATGAGATATTCAATCAAAAAATTAAAATTTTAATATATAAACCTTACATAAAAATAAGAAATGTAGAATTTCTATGGAATTAGACAAAACACCAAGATCTTAGCAAAGAAACCATTCTCTAAATCAAACGTGTTTGCATGTCAAAATTGGATAATTTGATAAGCGTCATTGTTATTATTTTATTTAGTAAGATTTTTTTTTTATAAACAAACAATTGGAGAAAACTACATGTTGTAATTTAAATTCTCTTATATAAAAAAGGAAATTTTATATATCTATTATAGTTTTGATAATTTAAAAAGTAATAACTAATAAAAAAATTAAACCAAACTACTAATACAGACTCGCGTGTAGCGCGAGTTAAAAACCTAGTAATATATAAAAGTTGATGGCATAGTGCATTGAGGGCGTCCACATGAGATTAAAAAACTCGATCTGATTGGTCCACATCAGTATATGCATTAAAAAAATATTAAGTATGATTAGAACGGAAAAACTTGATTTAATTGGTCCATATCAGCTTTTTTATCTCAATTGTTAAGTATAAATAAAACATTAAAAGTTAATTTAACAAATTATGTCCAACAAAAAAAAGTAAACACAATCTGATTGATCCAAATCAACATATTTATTAAATCAGAAAATATTAATATGGTTTAAAATTTAAAAGTTAAATAAAAAAATTAACAATACATGTATAAAAAAAAATTGCCATTATCAATTATCAATTTAAAAAAATTTACAACAACTCGATTTAACAATTAAAAAAATTCCACCATTGCCAATAATCTATAAAAGATTAAATCTTCTTACTTAAAGAAATTGGGCTTAAATATTTTTTAGTTTCAAGCCCATGGAAACACTTCGAATAACACCAAGCAATTTTTCTTTTTTTTTTGAAAATCCTCCATAATATTTTTTTTTCATTTTATTGTTGACCAGAAAATCTCAATCGAAGAAAACTCTTTTGCTTCCCTTTGATTTTCGATCTTAATACCCACTTTTGACAACAAAACTGCGTTCCTTCCGTTTGATTTACCAAATCTTAATGCCTAACTTCGTAACAAAGCTTCTTTTTTCTGATTCCACATAGTTATTAAATTTTCTTATGTAAATAAAATTTTTTATAAATATATTATAATTTTAATAATTTAAAAAATAATAGCTAAAAATAAATTAAATAAAACTATTAATACAACGAGAGTTATAATGAAGTACACAAGTCCAATTTTATTTGTATTCAAAACCAAAAACCCGATTAATCCGGTTAAAATTCAGAGCATATAACTTGAGTGGGTCTGAAGCGTTGGCCCATGTGTATAAGTATAACGCACAAAAAAACCTCTTGCCGTTTAAAGCTTGTAAGGGACGAGCACGTTGTTCAATAATGGAATGTTCAAACGGTATGGTGTGGGAGTGCAATATTCGTCCCACATCGGAAGTTTATGTCAAGTTGATTTCTTTCGCTTGAATATAAATAAAGGGCCTTAAGCTAGGTATTTCTCATCTTTGCGCTTGGGGCAATGACGCAGCTAATGAGGTACTAACCGAGGCGCGTCTATTGCTGGTTGAAAACTATTTCCAAACCCCCTCCTGGACCTAAGCTAGTCTTGGGCCTTCGAGAATTTCTGGAAGGGTTCCCTTCGGGGTAAAGCCCTACAATATGTAGTCCAATATTTTTTTCTTTACGAAGCTCATTTTGGGCCTTCTCGTTATTACTGTGGTAAACATTTAGTTTTAGAATTATGTAGAAAATCTGAACCGGGTTTAGTCTGTTTAGAGTCTGTCTCTTCCATCTTTTTTGAAAATCTTAAAATATTTTCAAATACGACATTGGTTCTTTTGGATTTACGAAGTAGACGGTCTAGTTTTATTCAAACTTTATAGGTTACTTTATAGGTTTTTACCGGTTATATACTTTGAAGCTTTGCTAGTAATGTAAATCAATTAGCATTTGTTTGTTTTGGGTCTTAATTTTACAATCTTTTTTTTTTTTTGAACATTTGGCACCTTAGATTACAAAGCCCAATTCCAAAAAAACCCAAATAGAACCCAATTAGAACCGAAATGGAGAGAGACAAAAACCAAAATGACCCAACCAGGCCCAGCTAATCTGTGCCTGAGATTAAAAACCCAACCAAGCCCAGTTACTCTGTGCTCAGAATTACAGAAACGAGAAAATTTTAGAGAGGAGAAAGAAACCAGATCGATGCCTTTAACCAAACCAGAGAGCAGCAGAAGTTACAGAGAAAGCCAGAACTGCATCGTATCACTAGCTGCTTGTTGATTCTACAGACGAGAAACAGATATTCTGTTTTTAATAATCAGCTCAATACCTTTGAAGATTACGTCCGGATGCTTGTGGATATTACGGTGAAGCCGGTTATTTCTTTCTCTCCACATTCATAGATAGTGGTCTGCCATGCAAGGATAGTAAGATATCTGCGAATAATGTCTGAATTTATGGAGAGAAGATTCTGAATTATTAAATCCCAGGAGCGCAAAGTGAGAGAGAAGCCCAGTTTCAAAGCCAGTTTCAACCAGATCGAAAAGAAATAGTCACAGTCGAAGAATAGGTGGTTTCTGGATTCCGGAGCACCATTACAGAGAGGACACAACGGATCAGTTTGTAAGCCCCAAGAGAGAAGCCGATCCCGTGTGGGGCATCTGTTTAGGGTAAAGAGCCACGTGAGGCACTTGTGCTTTGGAATTCTCTTTTTGAGCCACATAATGGTTGACCAATCAACAACCTGATTCTGCATCCTAAGCCGATGATAGATGATTTTTGAGGAGAAAGAAGTCTTAATGGTACCGTCAATCTGCCAAAGAATTTGGTCTGAGGAAGAATTGAGAGAGACAGTTGTCAAGTGGCAATGTAACGCTTCAATACTCTCTGATCTAGCTGGAGTCAGACGCCAAGAGTTATTAATCCAGACGGAAGCCACAGTAGCATCCCTGGTTATCCCTGTTAATCTAGGTCCAAGAGGACCGATAAACTTGATTAGCGGCCCAAAGGAAGTCCACAGATCTGACCAGAACATACAAGTTATCCCATCTCCAGGTCTAATTCTCACCCAAGTCATGATCGTATCTCTCAGTCTCAACAATTTTCTAAACATATCAAGTATGGCTCTGCTTTTCTTTTAAATCCCAGAAGTTTTTGTCTTTAATCACATTCTGATGGATCCAGGCAACCCAGATGAAATCCGTTTTGAAGAGAAGAAGCCAGAGAAGCTTCAGGGAGCACACACGATTCCAAGTGCTAAGGTTCTTCATTCCCAGACCTCCTTCCTCCTTCGGTGAGGTAACAGTTACCCAAGCAATCTTTGCCGAGAAGCTCCCCTCCAAGGTTCCTTTCCACAGGTACGCATTACACATAGAATCAATTTGACAAATACACTCTTTTGGAAGGACAAATGCACTGCACCAGAAGTTGGTTATCCCAGCAATCCCTGTATTTATTAGCATTTGCCTTCTCGCAAAAGACAAGTATTTTTTTATATTTTTGATGCTATGCAGAAGGGGCTCACAATTAATGATAGATAACTTCTTGGAGCACAGAGGAAGACCCAAATAGCGGATTGGCAAAAATCCTTGGGGGATTCCTGTTGAGTTCTCAATCAGTTGAGATTCTGAAGTGGATAGCCCGCTGGAGAAGAAGATTGATTTTTATGGGCTTATGGCAAGGCCATACAACTCCTGAAAGTCTGAGAGAACTGAAATAATACCGCGAATTGAATCCAAGGAGCCATCCGAGAAAATGAGAAGATCATCGGCAAAGCAGAAGTGAGTTAACTGAGAATCTTTACACTTAGGGTGGTAGCTGAAGATTCCATTAGCTCCTGCATCATTTAGCATTTGGGAAAGAATATTCATAGCTAACCCAAATAGATAAGGGGACAAGGGGTTGCCTTGATGAATCCCTCTAGAACTTCTGAAGTATCCATGAATCCGTCCATTGATACCCACTGAATAAGCTGTTGTAGTGACGCATTCTTTGATCCAGGCAATGTAAGAATTAGGGAGATGAAGAGCATGGAGACATTGAATTAGGAAATCCCACCTGATAGAATCAAAGGCCTTAGCGATATCTATCTTCAACGTAAGCCTTTTAGGACCCTTGTTCATATGATAACCGTTAACAATTTCCGAGGCTAGAAGACAGTTTTCCATTAAAAGTCTTCCTTTAATGAAAGCAGTTTGATTTGGCAGGATTATTCGAGGGAGAAGAGGCTTAAGCTTTGTAACTAGGAGCTTTGATATCACCTTGTAGAGCGTGTTACAACAGGAGATCGGATGATAGTCCTTGATAATGGTGGCACCCGGGAACTTAGGAATGAGAGTGAGAATTGTTGAGTTAACTGGGACTGGCATGAAGGCTTCAGAGAAGAAGCGAGTAATGGAGTTTAAAACCTCTTCTCCAAGAACAGGCCAAGCTGCTTTGTAGAATCCAGAGGTAAGATCATCAGGACCCGGAATTTTATTGGGGTTAAGTCTGAATAAAGTTTTCTGAATGTCCTCAGGAGTTGGCATACGAGCAAGGGAAGCTGCATCAATGACTGAGCAAGTGGATCTTGTAAAAGCCGAGATTGTTAGCAGCAGAATATGGAGCCTGAGATACATCCTAGGCCCCAAGATATTCCTGAAATGAGAGGCAGCAAGATTTCCCACATCCTCTGCGGTGATTGCCACTCTACCATCCAGCCCGGTCAAGGTATGAATAGTATTAAAAGCATTTCTGGCCTTACAGAAACTATGGTAGAAAGGAGTGTTCTGGTCTCCGGTTTGCAACCAATTAATCCTTGATTTTTTCTTGAAAAATTCTTCCTCCACAGTCCTCAACATAGTTAGCTTGTCATTGTACTCCCTTTCTGCTAGAAGGTTGGTAGGAGTAGGATCATTTAATGATGACAGTTGCGCAGCGTTGAGCATCTCGTGTACTTCGTTGACCCTCTTTTGAATGTCTGAAAAATTATCCTTGTTGAGCTTTCTTAGGGAACTTCTAAGCAGCTTCTGTTTAGCATGGATAGCCTTTAACGAGTGACAGAGAGATGAAGTAGGATCCCAGGCAGCAGAAACCGTTGAAAGAAAGTCAGGATGAGAGGTGAGATAGTTGTAGAACTTGAAAGGCAAAGTGCCAACATAGGGCGGCGAGGAAGCAAGATTGATACAACAAGGAGAGTGGTCCGAGATCTCTGGAGCTAGGAACTGAGCCAAGCTATGAGGGGAAGAAGAAAGCCAATGTTCGTTGATGAGAGCACGATCTAGTTTCTTGGCAATAGGGCCATCCGACTGTCTATTAGACCAAGTAAACTTGGCACCATGATAGCAGAGGTCCCTCAGCTCCAATTGTTGAAGACAATCTTTGAAGTTGATCATAGGGGCGGAGATCTGATTGAACGATGGCTGAGAATGCTCTGAAAGGTGCAGAATCTCATTAAAATCCCCTCCCACAAGCCAAGCAGAGTTACTTAAAGAGTACGTAGCTTCAATATCCAATAACTCAATCCAAAGATCATTCCTTTCATCAGAGGTATTAGCAGTATAAACGACAGTGTAGATAAAATCCAAAATTCCAGGACAACGAACTTTACAAGACAGGGTTTGCTTTGACTGATGCAGGAGAACAACAGAGAAAGGCTGTCTCCATATTATAATAATCCGACCATCTTCATCAGTGGCATGATTGGAGAGAAAAGACCAGTTGGGGCAAATGGCACTCAAAACATGGTTCAGATTGGGTTCTTTAATATGGATTTCAAGTAAGGCACCAAAGGAAACTTTATTACTTACTAGCCAGCGTCTAAAAGTCCGGTGCTTTTGAATTTCATTAATTCTTCTGACATTCCAAAAAAATATGTTGTCTAACACAAAACTTATTGTTGGTGCTCCCCCATGTGCAGGAGAGAACCCACTGTAGGGGTAGTGGACGCATCTGTTGATGGTAGCACAACGGGGGTCATATCTGAACATGAGCCGTCACCATCAGGAGGCTTGGAAGACAAAGAAGAATCCCTTTCCTCTCCTTCAAGCACAATTGAACCAGTTTCATCCAGGCAAGCAAAAGGATTAACTCCCTCTAGAGACAGGGAAGATTTCGGTAAAGCTGTTTTCCGGAGATAACGCGAACGTAAGGGAGAAGCCTTTTTTAATACTCTATTCGTGACAGGTCGAAAGGAGGCGAGAGCAGGAAGAGCAATAAGATGGGAGATCTTGTCCATATCAGCAGGACCAGTAATATCAATGGAGGAGAAATCAACGACTCCTTTACCCAAGGGAGAGAGAGTTTCATGATTCGAAGCCTCCTGAGCGATAATGTCTTCAGCAACAGAAAGAGGAGAACCACCAACAAAGAAAATAGGTTCTTCAGAAGCCAAAGCAACATGAGCAGCAACTTTGGAAACAACAACATCTGGAGCAGACTGGCGACTTATGCTCGAAGACACAGCAAAACCAGGAACAGGCGATGTGGCAACTGAAGCTACCTTATTCAAAGAGGAAGTAGCCGGGGAGGATCCTGTGGAGTTGACCGGGTTGGCGGAAGATGGAGCCCACTGACCATTAGGACAAAGGGCCACTGAATGACCTAATTGTTTACAACACGGACAAATGGGAGGAACCCACGGGTACTCCACCGTGATGGGAACAATTTCTCCATTCTCTCTTTCAATTTCCTTATAGGTAGGAAGCGGCTTAGTACAATCAGCTTTGAATTTTATATGAGCAATATTGATGTTAACCATTTTTCTTGTAAATTCGTCACATTCAACAGGAAAACCAAGAAGATCTGTCACTTGCCCTATGCCTTCTTGAGTGTAGAGATCAAATGGGATACCTTTGACTTGGGCCCATAGCGGAATGGAAGTGAACGAAGGGGGTTTAACTGCTATCTCAGCAGACCATTGGGCAACATAGAAAAGTGAGCTTCCTATATGCCAGATTTCTTGGTCCACAATCTTTTTCCTAACTGAAGCATTTGGAATTCTCACAAGCATTGACCTTGATTCAGGTCACAGATGGATTTGAAGCTTCATTTCTCTGCCCCAAATGTGGGTCAAAACACTCTGAATGTGGCCAAAAAAGGGAGTTTTTCTCATGGATATACCAATAACAAAATCATGATGTAGATCTGCTCCACGTTGGAAAACAGAGTCCGGAATTTTAATACTTAGGATTCCAGTACGAGTGAAAGAAGAAGAGCAGGTTTTTTTTAAGAGCGCGGTCCACATAATGCTGAAGTCTAGCAGCCCAGCTATTGACATTCTCCTGGGAACTCTTGAAAGTATCCTGAGAGTATAACAGTATTTGAGGAGCTTGAGACGAGTCCGTCGAAGGCAGCAAAGCTGAGGGAGCTGCTTGGGGAAGACCAGAAGTAGTAGCTTCCGAACCTCCTGTTTTAGAAACCAGATCTAGCCCAGAAGATGGGAGATCCGCTAAATCAGGAGGAGGAGTAGTAAGAGGATCAGTACATCTAGAGGCTGAGGCATGATCAATCGGCTTTTTTGTAAAACCAGCAGTACCGATAACATCCATTGCAGAAGCATCAGAAGCTTCATACATAGTAGAGTCTTCGAAACCAAAAGGGATCGTAATAGGAGTCTTACTGGTGACACTCAAAACAGTCGTAGCATCATCAGAAGTAATCATAATATCCTAATTAACATCAATAGTAAGAGTAACTGTTGAGCTAGAAGCGGCTGTCCAAGACCCAATAGAAGACTGAAAAGAACTAAGACAGAACATAGCAGTAACACAGAGAGAAAATAACAGTAGAAATTGAAAAGCGTTTAGCGGAAATGCAGGATTAGGCAAATTCGGAAAGGGCCGAAGTGAGGTATTTCCGGCTATGACGACTGCCTGAAAAACAAACTAGGTTTGGCGCAAAAAACGAAAAAGAAAAAGAATGGAGAAAAAAAAAGCTTTTCTCTATTTGAAAATGAAAAATTTAATCTTACAATCTTGTTTACAACTCTTAAAATATTCATATCATTCAGTTTGTTTGGGTCTTGATCTTATCATAACCTTGTTTAAAATTTCCAGAAAAACATACGACATATGAAGTACACCGTCCAAATCTAAAACCAAAAATAAAAGTATGAACAACCGTGAGAAAACCAAACACACGACAGTTTATTCATCTCACAAGAACCAAAACCCGGTTTAAACCGATTAAAGCTTACTAGTAATGTTGATATTCCGGGTTTTGGAGGATTTAGATGACGTGTCCTTGGGGACGACAACCGTGAGAAGACCGTTCTCCACGTGGGCTTTGGTTTGATCGACTTTTACATTTTCCGGCAATTAAATCCGCTGGAGAAACTCACCTTTACCAGAGAAAGCAGCTTTCTCCGCCACGTGCCACACTAAATTCTCTTTCCCTTCCTTTTCTTCCTTCAGTCCTTCTCCTCTAATGCTCAAAACATTTCCTTCTTGAATTTGCACTTTTATGTCATCTTTGTTATGTCCTATTAATTTTTCATCGTTCCCAATGAGAATACTTTCATATGATTAAGTGAGGTTATTATTTTTCAATTTTTTTTACCTGGAACGTTGACTTTGAAGATATGAGCGTTTGGAGATTCCATCCAATCAATCAGGGCCGTTGATCCTTCTGACCATTCATGGAATCTCCGAAATGGATACCAGAATATTCTGTCTGCCATTTTTTTTTCTTACTCTATGTCTCTCTATGGCGAAATTTAATTTCGGGACAAGCGTGTATATTTGAAGAGAGAGAGGAGATGAGTGAGTATTTATCCAGAGTCTAGACTGTTCTTCGTTATCTTGTTCTTTACTTTCGTCTCCAGAACATTGGAAAAGACAAAAAGGGTAGCTCTAAGCTACGGTGCGGAGTACTATGCTAGAATATTGGTTGACTACAACCGTTGGATGCAAATTCTGATCTACGATAGATATTGGGCTTGGGCCATTATTTCTTAATCCTTCTAGATATTAAAAAATATCCGATTGTTGTAAACTTATGCTTTATAAAGAAAAACAAAGAAGAGTTTAAGATCTTTTGAACTTCAGAGAGAAAGAGAGAAAGATAAACATAAGAACTTCATTTTTTTCTTCTTCTGAACTTATGATTTTACAAAGAATGAAGTTACCTATTTATAGGAAAAACCTTATTTCATAGTGAAGTAAGGTAATTTATAAAGACAAAACATATAGATAAGCATTATCCAAAACATATAGATAAACATTATCCAAAACATATGGATAAACATTATCTAAAACTTATGGATAAACATTATCCTTTAATATGATGTATAAAGACAAAAACAAATGGATAATCACTATCCATTTAACACTCTCCCTTGATTATTCATCACTAATGATGTATTATGTACTGCCTCGTTAAAAACCTTATCATGAAAAAACCCGTGTGGGATAAAACTATGACAGGGAAAAGAGTGCAGTAGCGCTCCCCCTCGAAATGGCGCATGAGTATCCATCGCTGTGAAGTTGCGTGCTGCCTCGTTAAAAACCTTTCTATGGAAAAACCCAATGGGATAAAAATCATGATAAAGGGAAAAAGAGTACAGCAAAAGAAAACTCCCCCTGGAAAAGATGGATCTCATCCTCTCTTCACAAATCTCGTAGATGCCGCATTCCAATACTATGAACATGTTTCTTGAATGTTGTAGTAGGAAGTGCTTTTGTGAAGAGATCAGCTGCGTTGTCACTTGAACGAACATACTGAATATCTACTTCCTTTTTCTTCTCGAGCTCTTGAGTATATGAGAAAAATCTTGGAGGGATATGCTTTGTTCTATCGCTCTTGATATAACCTTCCTTAATTTGAGCGATACAAGCAGCATTGTCTTCAAACACTTTTGTTGGTTCTTTGTCTGTGATTATTCCGCTTGCTTCTTGTATGTGATGAGCTATCGACCGAAGCCATACACATTCTCTGCATGCTTCATGAAGCGCAATAATCTCCGCATAGTTTGAAGAAGTCGCGACCAAAGTTTGCTTTTGAGATCGCCAAGAGATCGCAGTTCCACCAAATGTGAAAACATATCCAGTTTGCGACCGAGCTTTATGCGGATCAGACAGATATCCTGCATCTGCAAAACCAACTAGACCAACCTCGGGGTTTCTAGAATAATATAATCCAAATTCAATCGTACCTTGAAGATAACAGAATATATGCTTTATTCCATTCCAATGCCGGCGCGTCGGTGATGAACTATACCTTGCAAGTAAGTTAGTAGCAAATGCTATATCTGGTATAATACAATTTGCAAGATACATAAGGGCACCGATAGCGCTCATATAAGGCACTTCAGGACCTAATATTTCTTCGTTACCTTCACAAGGTCGAAATGGATCCTTGTCAACGTCAAGTGGTCTATTGACCATTGGAGTACTCAAAGGAGTCGCTTTATCCATACTAAAGCGTTTCAACACCCTTCTGGTGTAATTTGATTGATGCACAAATATTCCATCTTGGAAATGCTCTATCTGGAGCCCTAGACAAAATTTTGTCTTTCCAAGATCTTTCATTTCGAACTCATCTTTCATATGAGCTCTAGCATCATCAATCTCGTTTTGAGTTCCAATCATGTTCAGATCATCAACATATACAGCAATGATCACAAATCCTGATGCGGATTTCTTAATGAACACACAAGGGCATATCGCATTGTTGACGTAACCTTTACTCAACAAATACTCACTTAAGCGATTATACCACATGCGTCCGGATTGCTTTAATCCGTAAAGTGATCGCTGTAGTTTGACCGAACATAGCTCTTTAGATGCTTTAGGCATCTTTGATCCTTGAGGGAGCTTAAATCCTTCAGGGATTTTCATGTATATGTCACTCTCAAGTGAACCATATAGGTATGCAGTCACAACACTCATCAAGTACATCTCTAAATTATTAGAGGCCGCTAGGCTCATTAAGTGCCTGAATGTGATTGCATCCATGACCGGGGAATATGTCTCTTCATAATCTATTCCCGGTCTTTGAGAAAATCCTTGTGCCACAAGGCGATCTTTATACCTTGTGACCTCATTTTTCTCATTTCTCTTTCCTACAAAGACCCATTTGTATCCGACCGGTATTACATCTTCAGGTGTAATAATTATCGGTCCGAATACGTTCCGTTTACTAAGGGAGAATATCTCATCCCTCATGGCAACTTGCCATTTATCCCAGTCAGGCATTCTTTGGCACTCTGACACGGAACTTGGATCTTGATCATCATTTTCATGATCGATCTCTTTGGAAACAGAAAAAGAGAACATTCCATCATTATCTTCTATTTCACTTCTAGCCCATAATGTTCCACTTTGGGCGAAGGAGATAGAAATCTCATATTTTTCTGTTTCAGATTCGTCTTCAGGACAAACCTCTTTACCTAGTTCTTCAGGAACTGGTTCAGATATGTCTTCCGGACATATATCTTCATTTGGTTCTTCAGGAACCTTTTCACAAATGTCTTCAGGACATTTGGCTTTATTTGGTTCTTCCAGAACCTTTGCTTCCAATTTCTTTCTTTTTCGGGGATTTTTATCTTTTGATCCTGCTGGCCTCCCGCGCTTTAACTGAACCGGTTCATTTGCTCTATTTACATCAATATGTTCTTCAGGAACATTTATCTTTGATGGAGCGTTAGCAGCGGAGATATAGGACTTTGTCACCCTTCTTGTATCAGTGAATGCATCAGGTTACTGGTTTGCCAATCTTTGTATATGTATAATTTTCTGAACTTCCACCTCGCGTTGGTTTGTAGAAGGATCAAGATAAGCCAAAGTTTTTGTACACCATGTGATATCATTTGGTGATTCTCTCAATCCTCCCCCTAACGCAGGGAATTCACTTTCATCAAAGTGGCAATCGGCAAATCGTGCCGTGAACATATCACCAGTTACCGGCTCAAGATACCTAATTATACTTGGTGACGAATACCCGATATATATTCCCAATCTTCTTTGTGGTCCCATTTTTGTTCTTTGAGGTGGCGTTATAGGGACATAGACTGCAC